GAGACAGGCCGTGTGCATGCTTCTGTGCATGTGCATGCTGCTAGTTTTGGTGCGTGACCTGGACAGGATCCCCTCGGGGTTACAGACACGAGTCTCGTTAAACACAATAACCAACCAACCAACCTATCTGCTTCTGCCCTTCTTAGAGGGGCTAATACGTATACAAGGCTGCGTGCTTGCTTCTTTCTTCGCTTGCTTCTCCTTTTGCAGTGAATCATATCAATATTGCTTCCTCCAGGCTGAGCTTTGTCTGTCGGCAATCTGCACGCTCACCCGGCCCATCAGCAGCTCACGATGACGATGGCAAAGCTTCTGCTGTGCCCGCTGGCCCTCTGCCTGCTCCTCCCACTGCCGTGCTGCTGCTGCCTGTCGACGTCGGTGGAGGGCTCCCGCGAGAAGCAGCAGATGCGCAAGGCACTCGCACTCCGCAAATCCATCGTGGCACAGGTGGCGGCTGTGTCTGGCGGAGTGCCCAACGGTGCGCTGGAGGGGACGGTGAGTCAGCTGCGGCACGACGTGGACGTCCTCCACCGACTTGAGGAGTCGTTGTCTGGCCATCTGTCGACTGCACGGGACAGAGTGGCAATCACACCGCACGCAGAGGCCGCACAGGCAAACAACCACACCGGCACAAGACACGCACCGTTGGCACACACTCTGTGTCTCTCTGTGTGTGTGTGTGTGTGTGTGTGTGTGTCAGGCTGTGATGAAGAGCCCCGCCTACCAGAAGGCCAAACACGTGCATTCACACCACACCACACCAAATGGATGAGTGACCAGCTCTCATGTGTGTCCCTTTCTCTCTCTCTCTGTGTGTGTGTGTGTGTGATTTAGGAGGCTGCGTGCAAGATGCGTGGCGGCTTCCACGCTGGACTGCGAGAGCGTTTGGAGCGGTTGGCCGAGGCGGAGGAGCGCAAGAGGGAGAGCGAGGAGCAGAAGGACGCCGACACAGCCGCACAGATCGACAAGGAACAACAGGTCTATGACACACACACACACACACAGAGAGAGAGAGAGAGACACACAGAGGACGTCCCTCTCTCTCTCTGTGTGTCTGTGTGTGTTCAGGATGCGGGAATGTTGTCTCACGAGGCGTCTGTGCAGCGTGCGGCGCGTGAGCAGCACGCCAACAGCGAGGTGGCGGCGGCCGGCGCACAGGCACAGATGGACGAAGACGCCGTCACGACCGCCAAAGCGCGAGAGATAGCTCAGGAGAAAGAGGCCGCCGGCCGGCTGGCAGAGGAGGAGACGCACCGCATCAAGGACATGGCCACCGAGGCGGCCATCGAGAGAGACGAAGCCGAGAGGCGAGCCATCGCAAAACACAGCAGAGAGAACGACCTCAAGACTCAGCAACAGGCACACACACACACAGAGAGAGAGAGAGAGAGAGAAAGAATGCATGTGTGTATGTGTGTGTGTGTGTGTGTGTGTGTAGATGAAGGAGGCTGTGGAGCGTCAGCACCGTGAGCACATCGAGAGGGAGGCGAACGTCATGGCGCAGCACGCGGCCACACACAGCAAACAAGAGCAACTTGCAAGCAAATCGGCAGCCAAACTCTTCTCAGGTACACACACACACACAGACAGACACACACACACACATCCATCTGTCTGTCCATCTCGTGTGCAGAGAAGATGCAGGTCCTTCGTGAGGCGGCGGCAGCGAGAGAGGCGGCATGCGCCAAGGCAGCCAAGGGAGGGGCGCCGGCTGCTGCCCTGCCGACTGGGGCAGAGACGGACCAAGAAGAGTGCAACCCATGCACCACTAACGACAACTAAGTGAAACGACCGAAGACCCAGCCGTGACTAACAGGTTCATTCAGTGGAGGAAGTTTGTTGTCGAGCGACTGAGTGAATGAATGCCACGTGTGTGTGTGGACGGAAAGAGGAAGAGACGACACGTGACCTGACGTTTGATTTCACCCCAATCCGTGTCCACAGAGAGCATCGACAGCAGAAGACAACCCAAAAACACACACGCATCCCATTTGCTCAGCGTCCACACACACACACACGCACACACATCCCCTCCCTTGTACGTCACAAGTCATCAAAGAAGTCATCACTCCTCGCCCTTAGCCGTGAGCTGCGACGCAACCCAGCTGATGGCGCCGCCGCAGCAGCAGAAGCAGCAGCTGCTGCAGCAGGAGGTGGAGGTGCGGGCCCCGGCCCATCTTCATCTTCCTCCTCGTCACCATCATCATCGTCGTCATCGTCATGATCATCCTCATCGATTTGCATGCCTTTTCTTCCTTTCCCCTCCTTCATGGCCTCCTCGGCCGTCAGGTACGCGTGGGCCGTCGACCAGAACTTAATGCACAAATCGTGAGACAGACTCGCTGCACACACGACCAGCACAGGGCACACAGAGAGAAAGGACACAGATATTGAGTGAGAGGTATGTCCGTGTTGGTGTGGGGTCACCGAGTATGGCATTTGACGGGTCCAGTGCGAGCCGCTCGACGGGGAACGATTCGCCCCTCTCAAACAGCGTCTCCCCGTGCTCACCAAGCACACCTGCACACGCCCATCAACCCATCCATGCATCCATCCATCCATCAATCCATCGATCCGCATGTGTCTTGCTCCCGTCCGGCACCCGCCGACCAATTATTCTGTTGGGCAATATGCTGACGATGCGGATGATGCCGTCGCTCGACCCGGTCAGTAGTGTGGACTCGTCCAGCTTGACCATTGCGTCCACTGACATGGGGTGGCCCAGCAGCCGGTCGTTGAGGTCGCCGAAGTCGCCCCACGAGAACAGCGATATCACGCCATTCTGGGTGCCACACACCACCTTGCGGCCGTCCTGACTCAGCCATGACCAACCACACGTGTGAGTATGCGAAAGTCTGGGTGTCTCTGTCTGTCGGGAGGTCTTGGTCACCTTCATGATTTGCAGTGACAGGTACTCGTCGTCGTGTGGGTCGGAGAGCGCCTCGAGCTCGCCATTCCTCGTGCGCAGGTCATAAACACCCAATGTGCCGTCACCACTGCATCCATCCATCCATCCGCCACATCAACACAGGAATGCGCTTGTCTCTGTGTGTGCATCATGGTGGCTGCACACACACACACACTCACCTGGTGGCCAGGAGGTATTTGACCTCATCGTCCGGCATCAGATCTGCACTCATCAAAGGCAAGAAGTGGCTAAGGATGGACGTATGATGCCTTGTTTGTGACACCCGTGCCCTGTCGACCTGAGATGAAGTCCCCCTGTTCGTGGAAGCTCATGACTGATTTGGGCTGCCGCAGGTCCCACACCTTGATGACCCCGTCGTCGTCACCTGACGCAAAGATCTGCTCGCTCAGCACATTCACTGCATTCACCTTCCCCCTTATCGAACGATGGCACGACACACACACACAACCACGAACACGCATTCAAGCAAGAACGATAGAACGATTGCTTAGCTTCCAGTCTGCCCACCTGTGTTTTTTCCGCCAGACGCGGTTGCCCTGCCGGTCGACGACCTGCACCCGGTAGTCAGCCGAACCCGACACCATGTCTGTGCAGTGAGACCAGCCATCCACATGAACGATGGGCACAGAAATGACTGATCATCGCCTGACTCAGCCTGCGTACGCTGTCCGTCTGGGAAGAACCGGATGGCTCTGCACGACTCGTCATGGGCCTCCAGCTCCAGCACGAGCCGTGCCGTCCCCTCGGCCACATTGTATTGGTGGCTGACCGATGTGAACACACCAACAAAGAGGGAGAGAGAGATGCCATCCTTTCATGAGCATACAGTCAAGGCCTCCTTCGCCTTACAATAAGACGTGGCCGGCGACGTTCGACGAGGCGACGACGGGTTCAGACGGGTGGAACTGGAGGTCAAAAGCGTGAAGAGGCAGCTCAATGTCCTCTATGTCGACCTCCGTCATCGACACAAATCAACAACACTCACTCACACACCTGCGTCCAAACAAACACACGAAAACCATGAGTGTGACTGCATCTTTCCCGTGGATCTGTGTCATCTGGCTTCATCCGCGTCACCTGCTTACTACAAAAGCCACAATTCCCCCAATGCGTATCGTCTGCAATCTAAGCCCGCAGAGAAAGAAAAGCCGATCTTGTCGCAGAGAAGAGGCCAGTTGACAGAAGGGCGTGCTGCAGGCGAGACGAGATGCGTTGAAGCGTCGGCGTGCTGCTTTCTCGTCCGATCGCCTTCAGGCTCGCACCGATTTCAGCGGTTTGCGGCTCTCTCCTGATGATCAGGGAGCGCTATTAGTCCCTGTGAGTCTCCTTGAGAACGGATGGCTTCGTCCCGTTTCCAGCGGCTGCCTGCCGATGAAGGCGATGACGAGCACGGCGAGGCCATGATGAATGGGCATGACACAGGCGTGGATGACCCATCGCGGCGGCGTGCAGTGGAGGGGATGGTCAAAGGGCGAGATAGGGCGTGGAGTTCCGATGATATAGAAGACCCTGCCAGCCTCCCGACGGTGGTGCATGGCGGCATGGCGACGGTCAACTTCGTGTCGGACCATGGCGAGGCGCAGGTGCGACGTGGGTGCTCGCGGCTGTGCAGATGACGCACGCCTCGCACTGAGATTCTGTGTTGGTGCGTGATTTCTCATGCAGGTTTTGGCTCTCCCTGCGGGCGAGTACTCATTGAAGCAGCTGCAGGGCCTCATCCCTAGAGGTGAGAATGGTGCAAAGACGACACCACCGAAGCACACGCCTTTACACGAGCCATTGTCCTGCTGTGTCAGTTCTGCGGTTGGTGAAGGCTGACCCACGCGATACCCGTGGGTCTTTTCCATTCCGTCCATGCGATGACGCCCTGGGCGTGTCGACGGACCACCCCAGCCCGACGCCCTCCCTCTCACCCATATTCGGGCTGGGTCGCCGGGGCTCCAACCAGCGCCTGTCGGCTTCCATGAACACCATGGGGGCATCGCAGCGGGGGAGCGCCTTCGTGCTGGAGGGCGGGAAGAGCTACGTGGCCCAGAGGGCGTTTGAGCACCAGGACAGCCCCATCGCCCACCTGCTGTCCAGACGGGTGGGGCAACACAGCACACGAGAGATCGAAAGGCCGAGTGGCCACTGGCCTGTGCACGTGTGTGTGTGTGTGTGTGTGTGCAGGGTAGTGACGGTGAGGAGTCGTTCCACAGTTGGTTTAGTTTCCTGCAGCAGGTGGTCAAGGTGTTCCACATGGTCTACTGGATCGTCGTCATAGCCGAGGTGGTCGCACTGCTCGAATCCAACCACTGCGAAGGTCACACACAACACACAGCCGACACACCATCAACCACCCACCGACACCAAACACAGGGACAGGCTGTGCATCTGTCTGTCTGCCTGTCTGTGCCTGTCTCCAGGTGATTTTCGTCGCAACGCCACCTTCTTTTGCGGTTTCCTCACGTTCCTGTTGGCCGTGATTGGCGTGGCTGGGGACAGCGAATGGATGTCAGGTACGCAGCTGTGACGTCCTCCTGTGTTGTGTTGTCGGTCGTCACGGCACGCGATTCTCCATGTGTGTGCGTGTGTGGTGCAGGTTATCTGATGGTGGCCATCTACTTGCTGACGGCCATCTACTTCCAGATCATCTTTGTGCGACAGTGGTTCGTCAACGTTTGCTACTACTGACGAACCGAACCATCTGCGGGCTTTTTCCGTTTTACATAGCCTCTTCCCATACTCGAACCTACGTGTCCAACATTTTATGTGCTTTTCGGGAGGGAGGGAGGGCACGGGAAAAGAGCAGTACTATATGGTGCGTGTGCTGTGTGTAAGGGAGTGGGTGTGTTTCTTGAATACTTGAATAGATACGTGTGTTTGTGAAGTGAGTAGATGCGTGAAGTTAACTAACGGTGACCGGACGCTCCCTATGCGGTCAAGCCTCATCAGATGGACCGACCATCCAGGCAGCAAAATTGATTTGACGGGTGATATTGTCTTTGAAAGCCATCTCTCTCAGTCGCTGAGGCAAAAACAATCATCCCAGCACTCAACTCACACACGCATCCCTGCCTCTCCACCGCCGTGTCACATCACACTAGAGCATCAATCACATGACACCCACATCCCAACACGCCGCACCGAAAACATGGATGGCCTATCTATCAGCCATTACACCTACGCATCGTTCGTAATCTCTATCCCGAGATGGGGTCGGGCTTCTCGGTCGGCCTGTCAAATCCCTCGTACCACGACTTGACGAAGTCGTCCATGCGGCCCTTAGTCGTGGAGCGCAGCGTCAGCTCACGACGCTCGGAGGGAGTGAGGTAGGTGGACGGGTCAAAGTCGGGATCATCAACAGGCAGCTGAGACCTGAACACACAGTGCAGCACGCCCGTCCGCCCGCACCAATGTCTGTCACAGGCTGGCTCTCTGGAGTGTGGGCGTGTCGGTCACTGACCAGTCGACGGTCTCGCCGTCCTCTGGCGGCTTCATGATCTTGTCTTCCTCCACCCCCATGCCGATGGCGGTGCTGGAGAAGTCTCCACTCGACAAAGCCTTCTCAAGGGACTCGATGCGCTTCAGACGGAGCATCTTCTTCAGGTACCTGACGTCACACACGCAGAGAAGCACAGTGAGTCAACCAGTCAGCTCCCTGTGAAGCAGGCAGTCAGATCTATGGCAAGGCCGACCTGATCATGAGCTCTTGCCTCAGTTCCTCCTCATATGTGGCGGTGGCCACCTCCCCCTGGTAGTTGATGGTCTCGCTCTCAGGTTCAAACGTGACCGAACTCTTGCTCGGCCGCCGCAATATGCCCACAGAGCTCTTGACGGCGCGCCACAGGAGCGCACTCTGCTCTTCGGGCTTCATCTTCTCGATGCCTGATGCGCTGGCCATCTGCAGGGAGGAGGCGGCATGAGGGCGGACTGGGGAGAGGAGGGACGCGGGGGGGACGAACGCTTGTGTGGCGGTGGCCGCTGTGGCAAGCAAGATGAAGTTGAGCATCTTCGGATGCGTCGCTGGAGGCCTCCAGATGTGCGCCTGGGGTTTATGGGGTCCAGGGTTTGAGACTGGGGGCCGAGGGGGCGCCAGGCAAGCTTGTGTTGAAAGTTTCTCTTGTTTTCTCGTGTCGTTGAAGGCGCCAACGTATGTCACATGACACCGTGAGTGTCCCCCAAGACCAACAGCTGTTATCAGCCGGACCTCTCCCCCAACGAGAGGAACCGCGCCGCAAGTCGAGTGCATACGAGGCTTTCCCGGTGTTTGTGGGCGGCAACCTCCTCCAACCGGTGCTAGAGGAGGTCGAAGACACGGCCCGAGCGAGGGCCCTCTACAGCAGCAACAGGAGCCTATCCTCTGACGACATCAAGCAGATTCGCAGCACCCCCATCGCCACCACGCCTGTCAGCAAGACCCCCAGCGGCAGGAAGCGGCAGGTGCGAAAGGAGCCCCCCTCCAAGAAGAGTGCACAGGACAAGCGCGGAGAGGTTGAGGTTCATCAGCGGCCCACTCTGATAATCCACTCTGACAGCGACCCGCTGCTGCTCACTCTCCCTCTGCATGTCGTGGCGCGTGAGGAAACCGGGCCCAAGAAGGTCAAGACGAGAGCTGCAACCGACCCGCAGGTCACCCCGATAGACCACAACCGAGACATGGAGGGCGGCAAGGACCTGACGAAGTGGGTCAAACAGCCCCAGAAGGCCAAGAAGGCCAAAGCCAAGGGTGGTGCCAGGGACAAGAAGCCCTCCCGTGCCAAGTCCCCGGCCAGGGCGGCAGCGAAGAAGGGCAAGGCCACAGGGGGCGGCAAGAAGGGCGTGGCCAAGGCAGTCATTACGAAGAAAGAGGGCGTTGAGGGTGGTGATGTGAAGGAGGGCGGTGGTCAGTACCCGCGTTACGTGTACAAGGAGGGGAAGGAGGATTCGATGAAGGTCGTGGACGTGCACGAGTACCAGGCGCTCGTCGGGGTCAGCGGAGTGGACGGCAGCAGGGAGGGAGTGACGGAAGGGGCAGGGATGAAGCCGTTTGTGTGTGTGTGCATCAGGAGTTGGTGGCCATCCGTCGACGCAACGAAGCCCTCATCGCCTCCCGTGACAACCTGGCCCGCAACCTGGGCGTGAGCAGCTTACACCGACGCATCCCTCCGACTCAGCAACATTCACATCTCCCCCCTGTGCGTGGCTTGTGTCTCATCAGGAGGTGTCTGAGGCCGCCAAAGTGTCGGATGCCGAAGTCAGGAGGCTCAAAGCGCAAAACAAGGTCAGCTGCTGACGGCTGGATGAAGCATACAGGCGGACGAGGGAGCTTGCCCTCACTTCTGCCGTGTGTATGTGTGTCTCTGTTAGTTCCTTGAGAACGTTCTGAGTGGCAACCAACCTGTTGGGGACATCGGCATACGGTTTGACCATCCCGCATACACACGCACACAGACACACACACACTCTCTGCTCTCTCTCTGTCTCTGTGCAGCGGGCGACCCTCCAGGCCACCGTCTCACCCATCTCTGTTCGCGTGCTGCCCTGCACCAAGCAGCGCCACGCTCAAGCCCTCGCCCACCACCGCCCACCTGGCGGCCACACGCTCATTCGGGGGGCCAGTACCCACCTACACGCCACCGCCCCACCTCCAGTCCCACCACCCTGGTATCAAAACCGCCGGGCCCTTCATGCGCGAACCGTCACCCACTGAGATGGACCGCATCCACCAGGTCAAGGCCGTCAGCCCAACCACCACGCCGGTCTTCCGCTACCAGGCCCCGTTCACACCCGTGCCCATGACAGGCCCCGCAGCATTCCCCGTCGGGCCAGCCAATGGCGGTATGGTGACCCGTGTCGGCCCTGCTGCCACCCCAGTGGCGCTCCTGCCCGGCCCTGTGGCCAAGGCCCCGCCGCTTGCCTATGCCTCTGTTGTTCCCTACGGCCAGGTGCAGATGTTCCCGCCCATGCAGGAGCACAAGCTGGTCACTGGAGGGACTGGTGGTGGTACTGATGATCAGACGAAGGAGACCATGCAGGTGACGGTGACGCAGAAGGGCGGGGCGGCGGCGATTGTGCCGGTGAGCAAGGCCACGGTCAAGGCGGCTGCACCCAAGCGACCCGCCTCTGCTGCTCCAGTGGCCCAGCGGGCTGTCTCGGCTATGCCTCCCCGACGTGCACGTGGCAAGGCGCCTGCACCGGGTCCGCCTGCGGTGACGGAGACACGGGGCAGACGGGGTCGATCGAATATGCCTCCCGTCGTGCCTGCCAAGACAGCGGCTCCCAAGGCACGTGGTGGCGCTGGTGGTGCTGGGAAGGCGCCGCCCATGGCCAAGGTTGGGGGGATGGTGAAGAAACCGGTGGTTGGTGAGATGGAGGACAGGACGGGGACGGATATAGAGGTGGCCAAGACAATCAAGGCCGTGCCCAGCTTGTATTCGTCTGGTGGTGGTGGTGTGGTCGGTGCGCCCCCTACGCCGCCCTACATCCCGACGCCGCCCTACATCCCTCCTCTCCAAGTCCAGAAGCGACAGGCACTCACCCCGTCCATCTGGCGATCGTGTTGCACCGAGCAGCAGACAGCCAAGGGAGAGCCGCCCCACTACATCTACCACGACCCCCATGCAGCAGCAGCCATGGCCCGCACCCGCAACCCCGGCCGCGGCCACCCGCACCCCAATGTGCTCAACATCTACCCCGGCGGCACCAAGAATGTCCTCACCATGCCCGTGTACATGCCGGCCGCCAACAACGGAGTCTACACGCCGGTGCCCGCCACTCACCAGGGCGTCTACTCATACCAGCCGCAGCCCCGGGGGTTCTTCGAGTCGTCCCTGGCTGTGGAGACGTCGCGGATGGGCAAGAAGTGATGCCCTTAACATACACAGATGGATGGGTGAGGTGTCATACATAGAATGGTGAGGCTTGCTGCGTGTGGGGATTGGCGAAAGTCGATCGAGTGGCTGGCCGGTGGGGTGGGGTGGGGTGAGTGGCTGAGGGGCTGGAGGGAGGAATGACTCAGTGGACTGATTGATTGGATGGATGGATGGATGGACGCCTTGTGCATGCGGCAATGTCCCATGCATTTGCTGGATACTCTCAATAAGTCGCTCGCGAGCACACCATACCACTGTATGTCAACCGCCATTGACAAAACACCGTAGCATGTGTCCCATAGCACCATCATGCGTGTATCACCATCCACCCAGCACTCACTCGAAGCAGTTCCAGACGGCGACAGAGCAGTCCTCGGCCGCCGTGAGTATCTGCTTCTCGTCAGGGCTCCAGGCCACAGCTACCACTCTACCCGTGTGGCCGAATCCCGTGTACATCAACTCGCGACCCTGATCGATACCATACACCACACACAACACACACATATATCGAGGTCTCTGGATCCATGCATCCATCAGTCTGCCTGTCTGTCCGTTCTTGCCTGTAGGTCGTAGATGTAGAGGAGGTTGTCGTGTGCGCCGCAGGCCACGTATCTGCCGGATGGCGACACACTCACGCACAGCAGCTTGGGCGCGCTCGTGATGCCCGAGAGGCATGTCGGGGCGCCGGCTATGTTCGGAAACCTGTGAGAGAGAGAGAGAGAGAGAGCGGAGACATGCAGATGATGTGGGAGCTTGTCTCATGGATGTGTGTGTGCGTGTGTGTGTATGTGTGTACTTGACAGGGTCGGGCATGGGTGTGAGTATGGCTACAGGGTCCGCCTCGTCCTCATCCCAGAACAGCAGGCGACCGTCAACGCCACTAGTGATCAACTGACAACAGCAACGCATCAATCCAATCCATTCATTAGCTGGCTCCTCTTTGAGTGTCTTCTTGGCTTCTGGTCACCTCGTACTCGTGATCCTTCCGCTGCGCCAGGCCGGTGAAGACCCCGTCAACCACAGCATGCTGGCACACCTGCACACCCATACACACACATTCATACAACAGGCAGGTGAGAATGATCCACCTCCCCTCTCCCTCTCTTGGTGACCTTTTTGTCCTTCTGCAGATCCAGAGACACCAGCAGCTTGTCGGCGCTACAGGCGTGCACCACATGCGGTTTGTTGTGGTCGACCTTGAGCCCCGTGACAGCCCGCTTGGCGACGCTGTAGTTGCCCACCATCTCCCTGGTCCGCGGATGCCACACCCGCACGTAGCCGTCCTCACCCCCAGACACCAGCATGGTCCCCTTGCCACCCTGACCCTGGGCGGCCGTCAGGGCCGTCACCGCACCCCGGTGGCTGGTGGGGATCTCCCATGACGGGGAGGGGGAGGAAGAGGTGGTGTCGGTGGGCGTGTCTAGGCTGCCGTTCTTGTCTTCGGGCTGCTGTTTGGGCAAACAAGGCTCGATGAAGTACCCACGGATGGCGCCGTCTTCGTAACCTGTGTTATAAAGAGAGATGGGATTCCCTGCTGTTTGTGGCGAGGAAGAGCTGTGTAGGGTGTGTGTGTGTGTTGCGCGTACCGACTAGGAGTTCAGTGTCATCGAACGCCAGGCAGACAGCGAGCGCCGCCTTCTTGGCCGGGTGCTGCGTCTGGACTACAGCACGGTAGTCGGACAGATCCCAAACATGCGCCTCCCCTGCCATGAAATACACACGTCAGTCACATGTGTGTGTGTGTGTGTGGGTGTATGCGTGTGCCGCACCTGATCGAGAGGTGGATGCGAATATCTGCTGTGTGGTGCCGAATACCAGCGATGTGAGGGCGGCGCAATGTGAATGCCCCAACACCGTAGCCGTCATGTCCGACAACATCACCCTGACAACCAACAGCCCGGACACACAGACACACCGGCGCATCGCATCCATGCCTCCCTGCCCTCCGAGACACCCACCTGAAGAGCCTCCCGTTGGTGGTACCGCACACGACCTCCTGCCCATCCGGCGACAGTGCCAGCCCCGACACGCACCCGCTCACCCCCATGGCCTTGACCTCCTCCCACTGGGCATCACGCCCCTCGCATATCTTGACGCTGCCATCCCCACCCCCCAGCACCACACGCCCGTCCTGCCCACACATGGCCTGCACACCGTTGGCCGTCACGGGGATGGCTGCACGGAAGACGGACGTGTCCATGTTGAATATGAGAAGGTCGCCGGCTGTGGTTCCGGCCAGGAAGAATGGTGGGCTGGTGAGGGCGCACAGGAAGCGACGCTGGAGGCCGGAGGACGGCAGCTGGGCCCGCTGCGAGTCGCCTGCAGATGGGAATACGGAGAGAGACGAGTGGATGAGAATCCTTCATGTGGCGGTGTGGCTTTCCATTTGTGTACCTCTGTAGTTCATGGCGGCGAGGTCGAATGTGAGTCGGGTTATGACCACCTGGTTCTCGAGTGTCGTCACCAGCATGTACTCGGGATACCGCGACGCCTTGGCCCTCTCCACACTACTGAACTTCACCGTCGAGCACAGCTGCACCAGACACAAACCATGGCACACCATCCCCCCCATCCAATGGATAAACCCGGCACCTAACCTGTTCGCTACGTTTGTTGACGACCACCTCCCCTGTCTGCACGTCCCACACGAACAGCTGCCGCTCCTCCGACGAGGCGGCGGCGAAGCGGCCGTCAGCGGACATGTCAGCGGCAATGATGCCGCCACGCATTTCGGCGAACTGGCCGATGCCCTTCCTCGTCTGCAGATCCCACGCAATGACCTCAGACGGGCCGTCCTTGCGCCTTGGCGACGCCGCCTGCCCGGACAGAAGCGTCTTGCCATCCTGAAACAACGAACCAACACGAAGAAGATCTACCATTTTGCGGCTTCGTTGTGTGTCGTTCTGACCTGGCTGAGTGCGAGTGCGGTGATATCGCTATCATGAGCCCTGAAGAACTCCTGCTTGTGCGGGTCCTCTACGTTCTGCATCACCACAGCCGAGCCGCATGAGTAGATGATGGTCGGCTCGGCGGGGTGCCACAGCAGGCAACTGCGATGCTGTCCAGAGTATCCTATCAAGTGTTCCAGCTCAACCGCCATTTTTTCGGGCACCGGCGAGAATTCACTTCCTCGGCATAATTCTCGCCGGTCGAGACGGAATTAAAAGGCACCCAACCAGTGTGGACCTCTGATTCAACTTCTCTCTTCCCCCCGCAGCTGTTCTGTTACCCTACGGCACAACAAACCTTCGCCCTTCGTCCCTGTTGCAGCTGGGGGCTCAGAAGGCTAAGAAGGCGTAGCCGCCAGAAGATGATGGCCTCTCGCCGCTGATCATCGTCAACCGAGAGAGGGGCTGTTGAAGCGGCCCGACCTCATCGGAGACTTTGTTCGAGAATGCGAATAAAGGACAGGTACACATGGCACGTGCACCGAGGCACACGCGGTGCATGTCTGTCGTATCCTTGACGTACACTGCTTGGACGCGAAAGTTGTGGTTTCTCCCAATGTGCAGCGTCGCACTCTATGTGCGATGGAGGGTTCAGTGCTGGCCTACGTGTTCTCTGGCCGATTCGAGAGGGCCTTTGTCCGTGACGAGTGCGTTCAGATGGTCAGCGACTATTAGCGACGGGGGGAATAAAGTGGCATGTCTGTCACCAGTCTGTGTGACAGGCTGGTCGCGCATCTGGGATATTACGATTGGAAAGACATCACGACCGTCACCCTGCCCGCCGTCAAGCAGACGGACTTACCGTATAAGTATGTCAGTGTGAATGGATCAAATGAGTCAACACGTGTGTGTGTCGTAATGTTCCGCCTCATGTGTGTGTGTGTGTGTGTGTGTGTGTCAGGTATTGGGTTGATTCGCTCCTGTATGGCGCATCAGCGAACAAACCCTGCAGCACACCCACTGAGGACACTGCGGCCTTGCCGGTTGGCGAATGGAGGGCGGCAGAGCAGAAGGAGCGAATTGAAGCTGCAAAGAAAAAGGTGCTGGCCAGACTTGACGTCATTCGACCCCTCCTGAAGACGGTCCATGCCGATGATGATGAGGTACAGTATACTCAGAGACATACACACATACACACACAACAGGATTGCAAGAATAGCGACAAGCATAGCGCCTATGTGTCTGGTTGTTGGGTGGGTGTGTCAGCTCTTGTCGGTTGATGTGCTGGGCGTGAAAGTGACCATCACCAAGGCGGCGGCCAAGTCGATGGGTGGAGAAGACAGCCCATTCTACGGCAGATTCACACGGTGAGGAAGAGAGCACTAATGTACGTCATCCACCTATGTGTTCTGATGGACGTATGTGTGTGTGTGGCGTTCCGATGAATACGTTGGTGTGTCTATTGCGGCTTAGTGATGACCGACACTCGGTCTACGGCCTCGACTGCGTCCGCCGCATTGCCGACATCATCGCGCGAGCCCACCAGCACCGCCAGGGCCTCATAACAGCTGGTGTGCATCAGTCGATGGGAGACGAGATCATCTCGATATGCCGCTCGGCGATTCATGTCTTTGGCATCGATGCCAACCGCTACCTGGGCCAGCCCGGCTGTCTCCTCACGAGCGAACACCTGCAGCAAATCAATAGATGGGGAAAGAGGACTGGTGGTCCCTCACATTTGCCCGCCCTGCCGGCCTATATGGGCAAACCCATTGTTTGCCTTTATAAGTAAGCAGCAAACATAATGCCCTCTCCTACTGTCACTCTCTTGCTGTCAGGGCCCCGAGACATAACACCACGGCTGATGGCTGGCATTGGTTGGAGTTCGTGGCAGCCATTAATGGCCGCTCGCCGCTGATCATCGTCATGCGAATAAAGGACAGGTACACATGGCACCGAGGCACAGGACACAACACGGACGGACAAAAGATGAACGTGTGGTGTATGCCTGTCGTAAGCAACGAGATTTTGGCGATGGTCGTTGATGGCCAGCTGCTCGATGTGGACCGCTTGGACGACTGGGGGAGAAACCACCACCTTCTCTCCATGTCTTCATCCCTCTACAAACTTGAAGGCACGCCCGACTTGCCCTACGTGGGCCGCTTCAGTAACAACAGCCTGATAAGCTTCGCAAGCCTGTACCAGAAGACGCAAACCACGGACACGAATCACCCCACCGCAAGCATATCGTCACTTCTGTCGGTGACGGGCCTGGACATGGGCATCTTATCATCGGCCGAGCGGCAGCGAGTTACCGGTGGGCCGCCAACAATGAATAAACCCCTCAAGCGGTGCCAGGCCTGGACAAGCAGCGGTAGTAAGAAAGGCAGGCAGAAGCAGCCGACCTTTGATCACCGCACATCCTTCCTCCTTCCCTGTCCTATTGTCAGCCATCATCGAGGAGAGCTGGTGCTGACGCCAGCATTGATTGCTGCTTACATTTTATTTTCGTTGGCTCTTTCCCCACCCATGCAGCGAGCGCATCATGCGGCCACCACGTGGTGCAATAAGAGTGCGATGGATCAGTAGATGCATCGTGTATGCTGCATTGGCCAATGGGACTCAATGAAACAGGCCTCGGAGTCGGCGCCCCTTCAAAGAAGAGGCCCTCTACACCGAAGACCGGCAGGTACGACAACAAACAAGATTATATCCATCAGCTGTCTATCTGCCTGTCTTTCTGCTAGCGTACGTTTGTTGAGTGAGCCCCCGCCCGGCTGGCAATGAATGGAGAAGGACCTGCTGCGCTGCATCGACTTCACCGAAGGTGGGTAGAGACAAACAAATCGATGAGTCTATGCCCCTCTACCTCGTTCAGGCAATGTGCTGTGCCTGGTAGCGATGGTGCGGGTGATCCGACGGCGCGGCAATTGGAAGGAGTGGTCGTCCTTTGCGGTTTCCTATGCGCTGGGTGTTGCCTCATCGCCGGAGTGCGGCTGCGAGCTCCTGAGAAAGGTGGGCGGGCGATTTGAGTACTGTCTCGCTATTTGTCTGCGTTGCCGACGAGTGCCCCCATCGACACGTCATCGCTTACGCCACGGGGCAGCTTCTCATGATGAAAGACGACCATCCGCTACCGGTCAGCTGCACGATCCGGTGGTTGCCGTGCGCGGTCCGCTGGGTGGCCTGCTTTCTGCTGCAGCGAAGTCTCCCTCCCCTGTTCAGAGACCACCTGCATTTCGACGCCGCGTAACTGTCGGGAGGGCCACTCGACCTCATAATTGACAGCGGATCGATGGCTTCTGATTGTGCTGCAGGGTGTGCGAGCACGACTACCAACACGCCGTCACCATTGTGCAGCGGAGGTGCGCACACTGTCAGCAAGTCGATGGATGCGGTGCTGGCCTTTTGTCGTGTTCAGTTCGGTGCCGGTGGGCAGATGGGCATTTGCTGGTTCAGCCAGCGACTATGGCCAATTGACTATGGCGACCTGCTGCCGCAGCTGAAACAACAGAAGGCGATGCAGTTCGTGTGGCCTTTCTTCGTCCTGCGCCAGTTTGCCAACGTCAAGGCTATCGTCGGGCCAGGTCAGACAGAGCGAGCCGGCCACGTGTGCATGACAGTTCTGTCGTGCCTGTGCAGCTGACTTCTCGTCCATTTCCGACGCCGAGCGCGCTCCACTGGCATACATCGCATGGCTGCTGGACGACGGGGACGGACAGGACGCACTCGGGACGGGCAGTGAAGGCAGGCAGATGCGAGCGGACTATCTCAAGCTGGTCAGCCATTGAGCGAGCCGAAAACCCTCTCTTCTCTCTCGTCACCTTTCTCGCCTTCCTGTGTCAGCACGGCGCCCTTCTGGTGTTGTTTCGTCTTTGTTTGTCTTTGCAGCTCTGCACAAGGGCGATCATCATGGCCGCGTTGACTTCCTCGAGAACGGTGCGAACGTCGCCACAGTGGACGTCGAATTGGGACGGATGCTGAATCGTGGTGTGCCGTGAAATGCGGTGGTGGGCAGGGTTGTTATGTTAAGGTGATAAGGTCGACGAGATCTCGTCTGAGGAGAGGAGGAAGGAAGATCCTTGCAAGCATCTCAAGCCGAGAGCAAGGCGACGAGAGAGAAGAGCACCTATTGCACCAGGAGTACATCATGTGCTTGATCGTGGAACGGCAGGAGAAAATTAAAGTACACACGCGCAGTGCTGCCGATGACACGCATGAAGGCATCTGCATGTCTCATTGTCTTGCCTTTCCATGGATCAGATTGATTGGGTGGTGCCTCACACGTTCTACCTTTTGGGACGAGTCCATAGCTCGTCTGACACTGTATCATGGCAAAAGGTGATACGGCTGAAGAAGTGACCCTCTTTGTGTGTGTCTCTGTGTGTGTGTGTGTGCATGTGTGTGTGTGTGTGTGTGTGTGCAGGAGAGTGTCTGCCATCGAACGTCCGTCGTTGAGGGATCAGCTCGAGGCTTCGATCGCCCAAGGTGAGACCTACAGCTGTGCAGTCTCTCTGCCGAAGTGATGGCTTCTCTTCGTTCGGCAGTGTGGAAGGACGTCGCCCTAGCCGCCCTGCCGGCCCCCCAGCCCCAGCAGGCGCTGCCCGACCTACCAGCCCCTGCAGAGCACACTGATTGATGGATGGTGCGATGGGTGGCACAGACTCAATGGCCTGTTATCTGTGCAAGAATGGAGTTACTATTCCTCTCATTTCAGCAAGGTAATCAAGGTGAAGGGCGGCACCATCTCACAACTCGTCTCACCATCCATGGATCAGCATGCCCTTCACGTGTGTCCACTGTGTTTGTTCAGATTGTCAGATTGTCACCCGTACTACTACGACCAAGGCGAGACGGGAAGCCTCCTTCCCATGGTCAGAGACTACCTGCGTTTCGACGCAGCGTCGACGCAGCGTCGACGCAGCGTATATAATTGGAGGGAGGGGCAGTCGATCATCGTGAGTCACAGCGGATCGACGGCTTTTCCTTGTCTTCTGCAGGGTGTGCGAGCACGATTACCAACACGCCGTCACCATTGTGCAGCAGAGGTGCGCACATTGTCAGCAAGTCCACAGATGCGGCGCTGATGTATGCCTTTTGTCGTGTTCAGTTCGGTGCCGGTGGGCCGGTGGGCGTTTGCGGGGGCAGCCGGCGACTACGGCGACCTGCTGCCGCAGCTGAAACAACAGAAGGCGATGCAGTTCGTGTGGCCCTTCTTCGTGTTGCGCCAGTTTGCCAGCGTCGAGGCCATCATCGAAGTGGGTCGATCGCCGTCCTGAGCCCCCTCCTCTGCCTGTCGACAGTGAGTCTGGCCTCACGAGCGAACACCTGCAGCAAATCAATAGGTGTGGAGAGAGGACTGGTGGTCCCTCACATTTGCCCGCCCTGCCATCCTATATGGGCAAACCCATTTTTGGGTTTACAAGTAAGAAGCAAACGGAGGACTGGTGGATGCTCACTATAATACCCTCTCTGCTGTCACTCTCTTACTGTCAGGGCCCCGAGACATAACGCCACGGCTGATGGCTGGAATTGGTTGGAGACTCATCGCTGCCTCCATTTTATATTTGATGTCTCTGCCAGCAGCGGACCCGCATACATCATCATGCCGTCCACCCCACTGACGCCTACCCCCTGCTGCCCTCCCGACTCGCCGCGCCAGAGGTGGACAAGTGCATCGCACGGGACGACTGGCCGGAAGAGGACATCCAGCGGCTGTTGATGCTGAGGGAGCGGCTGAGGAAGGTCGTCACGGTGCCTGCGGTGAGTGAGCTAGGGATCGGCAAGAGAGAGAGGGCTGCCCTGTTCACATTCGTTTGTCGGTTTCTCTGTCTGTTGATGTCTGTCTGTCGATGTGTGTGTGTCTGTATCCATCAGGATGAGGAGCTCATTGCCCAGTCCAGGTGGATGAGCATCCACAAGCTCCTGGATGCCCCCGACACGATCGGGACCATGCGGAGTCTCGAGATCCGCGTCGAGGAGCCCGTCCACGACAGACGGGGGGGCAGCGTGCCGTGGCTGGCGCAGTTGATGGAGCTGCTTCGCCTGTATGGAGTGGCGGTGAAGGGCATGCGGCTGGCTGGCCCCCATGAGCACGGGATTCATGGCGGGCTACCTTCACTTGAAGCCAACGAGGCTCGTTCGGGCGCTGCTTCTCGGGAGGTGGTGGGTGGACAGCGAGGGGACGGATGGATCCATGGAGACCTGATCTCTCTCTCTCTCTCTCTTTCTTTCTCTCTCTCTCTCTGTGTGTGTGTGTGTGTATGCTGTGCGTGGCCTGTAGTGAGGCCAAGTTCCGCGAATACGTGGCGGACATGACGGCCGAGATCGTGGAATCGGAGGCCGCCGATGCGACAGCAACGGGTACGTGCAGGCAGACACACACGCTTCCACTGACATATACAACTTCACCCACCACACCCTTCTCCCCTCCCTTTCCCATTATTGTCAGCACACTGTCGCCGATCCTGGAGGACCCACCGATGGCACCCCGGCCGATGCTGCTGCTGGCTCCCATCAACAGCCGGCAAAAGAGGCTGTCGCCTGTGGAGCGTCTGCTGCCTTTCGATCCTGTGAAATGATCGTGTGACGGGTCGGTGCCAACCAATGACTCACACTCATGCGTGTGTACAGCTTCTTGTCTGTTTGTTTCAGCCGGCGCCGCTTCGTGACAAGAAAATCCCCACGGCCGCCCCTGCCGCCCCACCCACGGCCACAGTACCCCAGCCGGCTGTACAGCCAGAGGTGACAGCCCAGCCATGTCTACAGGAAGGGCCTGGTGGTGGCCATTCGGGCGCCTGGGTCACCTTACAAGATCAGCAGACGCTCCGCGATGTCATTGATGAGCCAGGTGTACGGGCGTGGTGGCGGTGTGAGGAATGGTGCGTGGTGTGTCTCGCCGGGGGTCAGCTGAAGACGGGTGGGATAAGTATAGTATCGCTGTCTGCATTTTATATTTGACGTCTTTGTAATGATGTCTGAATGAATGCTGATCCGTTTGAATTGCTGACTCGTCCGTGGTTCTGGCATCTGGCGCATCGAGGCATCGACTCTGTCTCTGCTTTCACATAGAGTCCATCTGTCCTGCTGCTCTGCCCAACCGGCAGTGTCAGATCGAGTCAATCAGTCATTGAAAAATGAAGGCTTGTGTACAACCACTCATGCATGAAAGGTCCAAACTACCACCCGTCGTCAGTCACACACATTTCCTAGACGATGTGGCTTCCTCCTCCCATCGCTGCGGGCAGGCCCAGCCGTCCCGCGACCCAATTCTTCAAAGGAGCTCTACCACGACGCCAAACGTGCTGAGAGGAGTCAGGCGAACGCCGCTCGCGGCTCAGCCGCACAGCCTCTGGTGTGGGCAGGGCGAGTGGAGGGGGCACACGGATGCGCCGGTTGGGGTTGTGTATGTGGGTGGACTTCGTCGAACAACTGAAACACGTGTACACTCCCGCAGCAAGTCCTATAGCACTTAGTCTGCATATCGGTGGATGGATGCCTGCTCTCACCTTCGAAAGTGCATACACGGCATGAACGACACGGCACACAACACTCATTGCATTGACGCCACCAGCTGCACAGAAGCAAACATGATTGATATAGCTGCCGCAGCAATGGACAAATAACCCTGTATATCGCGCATTAGTCTGCCTCTGAGTCTCATGTACATCCCCATCAAACTCAGAGGCATACATCAGAGAGGCAGCCGCTCTTAGACCGGCTCCCCTGGTGTGTATCAAGTATGAACCGACGACCACCCCTGAAGATGATACATGTGCATACATGGACGCCACCAGCTGAACTGAAGCTTTCTGACCGCACTGCCGATGAATACACGACAAAGAAGGGTAGTGAAACAGACATGCAGCGATACGACACAAAGGGTGTGGCAGACACGAGACACACACGGGCCGGGGAGGCAGGTAGACAGGCATGCGTGTATGTCGTGAGTGTCAACTGTGAGCCTTCCCGCCAGCCCGTCATGCGAACACACACATTCTCAAACAGGCCGTACTTAGGACGATCCAGCCGCGAAGGGCAGCCCTCCCTGATTTGTATAGAGAGACATCCGAGAAGGCCGGTCAGACAATGGAGTCAATCCAGTTTGGGTCGACAGCAGTGGCCGACTCCGGCTGTGCGGTGGCTGAGTCGGGGCTGAAATGGCATGTCAGGTATCAGAATGAACACCACTGAGATGGCGCTTTCAGGCAGAATGATGTGGGCCACCAGCACTAGATAGGTGAGATTGCGGAAGTTGCATGTGCTGTCGGCCTCATTGCCCGTCTGGATGCTGGAGGCCTCGATCAGCCAAACACCAAAGTCCCGGGACCTTCATGCCACAGCTATTCATGAAGGAATGCATTTTCCTTCCTCTCTGCCGACAAAGGAAAGAGAGACATCATCTGCGCGTGGCGCTCTTCCTTCTGCCAGTGTGCTTACGCGAGCGGCGATGTGAGTCTGGAGAGGGGCTGGATAGCCGGCACCAAGATCCAGCATTTGAGCATTTGGGTCGAGTTCAGCACCATCGCATCACGTCTGCCAACCAGATGAGGCAGTCCATATGGAGGCCGCACATACATGTCTCTATCCCTCGTTTGGCTCACAGGATGAATGCAGCCCTGCCGGGCAGGCCGATCTTCAGGTTGACGTGCTCAATGATGATCAGATCCACACACGACACCATGATGCGCACTGATCTCCTAATCCAAAACGCCGACCGGAGGCGCCATTCTGTGGTGATTGTCTGGAAGATGATGAGCGCCAATGCTGACGCCAGCGCCCCCACCAGTTGCGAGACTGTCTGGTAGTAGGTGAAGTCGAAGGTAGGTCCGTTCGGGACGCACGAGGGCCGCGCTGTGTACCAGAGGCCTACGGCTCCAGGAATTTGGAGATACAGCGCCACTAACGAGACAAAGCAGACGCAGCCAGTATTGTGTCTCGTTTCTCGTATCTTGTGTCTCCTCTTTCTCTCTGACCAGACAAGAAGACGTAAAGGTTGGACACCGCCTGGGCCGAGCTGAGTAGGGCGAAGGCGATGACGCTGACGATGATCGCCACGATGGCCAAATAGATCAGCTGCACCACGGGAGACGAAAACGCACCTACACGAGGCAGACAGACAAACAGATCATGCAGCACGCCTCGCCCATGGCCCATGGAAAGGTTTCCTCGTACCAACGATGGCCAGCCCCAGAGCAGCCACACCACTGATTGCCCCCATGAGAAATGTCTTCCATTCAGCCCTTAACTTCGCCACCTGACGTGTCCAGCCATCCAGCGTGTCATGAGCCTCTTGCTGAAATGCAGACATACCTGTATACGGCTGCCATGTGGCAGCCGTATTCTTTTTCTCTCTTCGGGCAGCCATCCCCTGAGCACAATCCCAGCCCTCGATCACCCGGATGATGGAGAGACGTTGGCAGACACAGCCAAAACACCAAATCCGGTCTTAGAAACACAGATGGGTAGCATACAAAACACAGTGCCACAAAGGCCCGCTAGATGCCATTGTTCTGAAGCTGACGTACCGACCGAAGCGCTTGCAATGATAACACCCTAAGCCGATTTCTGACAACATTCACAAGACCAAGGCAGCCATCCAACTCTTCAACCTACACACGCCATCAAGAGAGGGACACGCAATGTGCCAATCTATGCAATGATGAAGGAATATCTTTGCTAAGTTACCTGAATGTTCACTGGAGTCGATCCCACGTGCAGCAACTCACCTGCAGACAAACAGGAAGAAGTAATGGGACAACAAACATGCACCGCTTGTCCTTTCAATGTATCTCACCTGCTTGTCAGCGATAAACATAGAGACGACCCATTGCCACACGGCCCGACAGGCCCCGCACGCCCCCCTCCCCATCGCCTGCAGCAGTGCCCACGTCCGCTGCCAAAATGATGGGCGTGGGGGCGGCACCAGCAGGGTGGCAGTTGCGTGTGTGGCGTCCCCGGGCTGTTGGGCCGGCTCGCAATGGGCTGGCGCGGCGCCACATGGCCAGCAGCCGGCACTGGGATGGCCGAGTAGGCGGGGCGTGGAAGCCCCCGATGACACCGGGGAGGGTGCTGGAGTGGTGCCGTGACATGGGGAAGGGAACGGGGGGGAGCGAAGGGGAGGGGTCAGTTGGCGACGCACTCGGTTTGTCACGTCCGGCACTAGAAGCAATGCATCCACACACGCACACACTCGTTCGTTTGGTCAACTCCCCCTCATATGCCCGTGAGGTCCCCCCGAAATGACGAATCGGACGCCAGTTCCTCGAACATTTCGGGGTCGCACTTGGCGCCCTTCCACTTGATCATGTACGTGTCGTCTGCGTCACGAGCGGCAACACACATCGATAATACACACCAAGCGAGAAGGGACTCGTGTGTCACACTGAGGCGGCCGAATATATACCTGTCGAATTCAGCCAGTCCAGCTGCTCACGGCCGGCTTTCAAAGCCAACATGATGTAGTCCTCGGTTGCTTGGTGGGCTGGCGCCAGCCGTCAGTCCTCGTCCTTTCGTTCGTTCGTTCGTTCAAGCTCGTAGTGGCCCCCACGCCCCCAGTCTTGCGAGCTCGGAAAGAATCATCATGATCCGCTCATTCCTCTCCTCCAGCCTCCAGCCCTTTTTCCCATGGCAATAGGCGCTGAAGTGCATAGATGAATGTGCTGGCGAGCACTTTCTGAGACCCAAGGTTGGTCGACAGACACGAATGGCAGCGGCAGCCTCTTCCGCGGCAGCAGCCGCGGCTGCAGCGGCCGCGGGAGGCTCAGGTGACGCCGGCGAGTCCCTCTCGACATGTGAGATCTGCCTGACAGAATACGACACGAACACACGCCTGCCGCAGATTCTGTCGCGATGCGGTACGCTCGGCGGGGACGAATGCCCTGAAATGCTGCCTACCAGAGGGTCATTGATGTGGCTGTGTGTGCTGTCCGTGTCATTCTCTTCTTCTCTCAGGTCATACATTCTGTTCAGACGTGAGTGATATCAGAGGAAAGCTCATTCCCTGCTGTCGCGCCTCACATGTCATTCCCTTTTCGTCTGTTGTGTGTGTCAGTGTATCGGCCGCATGCTCCAGTACCTCCCCTTCCCACAGGTCACATGCCCTAACTGCAGGTACACACCACACAGCACTAATCCACACCCATCGAATGAATGATGTGATGCCTCACAACTGCCTGTCTGTCCTGCCCCTGTATGTGTGCGTTGCACTCATCAGAGCGGTGACTCCGTTCCACGAGGTTCGCCGCAACTTCGCGGTGTGCCAGGTGGTGGAGCGTGAGAGGGATCGCCTGCAGCGGGAGCAGGCGGCGCAGGGGGGCGGGGGGCAGCGCGGCCAGGTGGAGGGTGGGAGGCGTGAGGAGTCCAAGCGGAAGCTCAAGGTGCTGTCCAGCTCCGGCAAACAGTGCAAGAGGCATGACGTACCCGTCAATGCCTTCTGCGGTGAGACGGGCAGGAAGGGAGGGAGGGAGGGAGGGAATGGACAAAGAGGGACTCGCGTGTGGACTCTCTCTCTCTCTCTCTGTGTGTGTGTGTGTGTTGTGTGTTGTCAGATGTGTGTGACTGTTGTGTCTGCATCTCATGCTACATCACTCCTGACGCGCCCTGCTACGCGCACAAGCGGTCGCTCATCAAGGATGCCGTCAGGAAGAAACTAGAGATCGCCAAGAGCCACAACCAGGTCAACACAACACAACTGTGCCGACGGACCATCCACTCATCGCTGTGTGCTGTGGTCGTCTTTGTTTGTCAGTTTCTCGAGAAGAGCAGGACGGCCCTCTCCCTGTCTGCTGGCACCCGCAGCGCAGAGGCACAGGACGTGAGCACACCAAAGGCAACCACACACAATGAGCCTGAAGGATTGGTGTTATGTGTGCGTGTGCAGCACTATCGGCAGTATTTTAGCAACGCCGAGGGCGAAGTCCACTCGCACTTCAAGTGAGTAACCACGCAGCCAGCCAAAGAGGCGGCGATCGCCACATGGATCATTGTGCGTGTTGTGTGATGCGTGCACATCAGTCGTGCCAAGGAGATCATAGAGGAGCAGCGTGTAAGCGAAGACTGGATGAGCGCCACATCGCCTGATGCTGTCCGTCCCTGTGGCTCTTGTGATGTGTGTATGTCAGCAACTGGCTTTGCGCACGTTGGCGGATGAGTACCAGAAGGGCCTCTCGGTGTTCGAGCACAGACGACACGAGTCACTCAGGCTGCAGCAGCACATCGACGGCGCGCTCGGGAGGATGCAAAGCCTCATCAGCGACGCAGGTATCACCAACACCAACATCCACTGCACCAGCCAGCAATGTGTTCTTTCCCCTTCCTTCATCCCAGGCCGTCGCAATTTGGGTCGTGCATCGAGTCTGCCCCGATCGGACGACCCGTCGAGTAGCAGTGCGTACGCCGCCGCCCCACGTAGCGCCCCCAGCTTCAGCAGCGACGAGGTGGACTTCCTCGAGACGCTCAAGCAGATCGAGACGGACATCATCACCGAGATGGACGGCCCACCCGACACACAGATGCGGCCCAGCAGCGACGAGGGGGATGATGAGAGCGATCGCACGTCACAGCAGCTGCAGCAGAGCTTCGGGGACCACCTGCGGCTGGGGGAGGGGGAGGGGGCTACGGGGGACGGCGGACAGGCCGCTGCCGAGGGGGGCAACTTCATTCACCGGATGACCAGACGACTGACGGGGGCATTGTCGCCATACTGCGTGTAAGCATACGCACCAGAAACACGGAAGGGGCTGGAGGGTGCTGTGACGCTGTGTGACTGTGCGTGTGTGTGTGTGCGTGTGTTGATTGTGCAGCATGTCTGTCCCTCGTGTGTCGCCTGCTCGTGGGGATCTGGGCAGCCTTCTCATGTCGTCCCTCGTGAGTATCATCTTCACCGACACCGACTGTAGCGGTAAGCAGATACAAGACACATATGAGGGACCAATACACTCTTCCGTTCTCCCCTGGTTTGCATCAGATGCACCCAACGCCACGGCCCGCACAGCTCCCCAGCAGCGCGGCCACTCAGCCATCCGCAGACATCGTGCCAGAGGCGACTCGCAGTTCCGAGCGCGCGAGAGCTCCCTCCGCACGTCATCAGCAGCTCTGTTGACACCGTCCCCCTCCCCGTTCCACCCCCTGCCGTCATTCCCGCCCGTCCAGCCAACGACCGCCGATGGTCCAACAGCAGCGGCAGCAGCAGCAGTCGGTGGGGCCTCGCAGGAGGAGAGGGATATCAGCACGCTGATGTTCGGTAGCTTGGGGCTGGGCAGCGGCGTGGGAGCAAGCGAGCCGGCCGCACCACCAGCAGCAGCGGCAGCAGCTGCGTTGCCGAGCGGCAGCGGGGGGCATTGGTTGTGGGATACCCCGGTGGCGCCGCGAGGTGGCCTGGAGTGGGAGGACATCAGGAGTGGGGACGAGAGTGCTCGCCCAAGCCAAGTCAGGCGGGCCTCCAGGCGACGGGGGAGAGCACAGGTGAGGCAGACACACCACCAGGAATGCCTCCGTGCAATCCGTCATTGATGCGTTGTGCTGTCTGCTTGCCCTTCCCTGCAGCGTCCGTTCTTCTCGCCTCCAGCCGACTCACGCCCTCCCTGCGAGCCGACAGAGCCACCTGCCGGAGCAGCAGCTGCAGCTGCGACATCGGGCCAGCAGGGCGGCTCGCCGCAGAGCCTGTTCATCTTCCAAGGGACGATCGACCAGGGCCTCTTCCAGCCGCCGCTGCCGGTGCTCGTCAACCCATTCGCACAGCTGGCGGCATCCCAGACGTCCGGCATGCAAGGTGGTGGTTTTGAGAGCATCGCCGCTCCGACATCGGCCATGAGTGAGTCCCAGGGGGTGCCTGCCAGCTCTCCAGCTGCCGCCAGTGAGAGTGCGAGTGCAGCAGCTGTTGCTGCTGCTGCTGCTGCTGCTGCGACGACAGAGAGCGGCGGCGCTAGTCCTGGTGGCGAGGGCGGGTACAGGGGCTTCTTCAGCCACTGGTTTGGCCGGTCGGGCTGATGAGGGATAGGGGGGAGTGTTCTTCATGTAGAATGGCTGAGCGTGTGCGATGGATCGATGACTGTACAGTTAGTTGTGCAATCAGTGTTCATCGTTCAACTCGTTCGTGCACTGCGTATGTGACTAGTGCCATGACATTCATTGTCTTCCTTAACAGACCCTCTTCGTTCTCGCGTGCCTCGAAAAAAATGCACAGTCAACGCCACACTCACTGAAAGTGCACGACTTGGATAGCTACTGACTGACATCACAGGTCTGACTCTCATAGCGTCTGGGGCCACAGAAGAGCTGTCTCGTGTAGATAAATAAATGCACCCGTAATGCGAATGTAAAATACACATAGCTATCTATGAATGACATTCACCCACCTTGTGGGTGGGTGGTGTCGCAAAAACAGCAGCATACGGCTGCCGACGCGCCAGTCGCGTGCAAGGCCACAAAGCATTCGATAAAGGGACCTATCGGGCATGTGCAGCTAGAACATCATCACAGAGCTTCATTGGACCCGATAAAAAAAACTCAGCGGAGGAAAAAAAGCATGATCCCATCTGTCTACAGCCTTTCACTGCAAGGTGGCATGATCAGCCCTCGACAGCAAACCCGCAGGCCTCCATCGTGCACCAGACACCGACGCGTGTTCCTCTCGTGGCACCTCAGCTGTCAGCTGCTGAGGCGTCGGTACAGAGGGCACTGCAGCCGAAACTGCTACCGACACCTCGCTTGCTGTGTCAGGGGTCTTGTCATCCTGCTCCGCCCACATCTCAGCAAGATTCACACCCTCCCCTCCGGTGTGACCCGAGTCATCCCCTTCATCTGCATCACGGCCCATCGCGCGAGCAGCCGTGGTGGCATCGTCGCTGAGCTGCTCCTCCAGCACTCGAAGGGTGGGCCCAAAGACAGCCAAGAGCAGCCCTTGGAGCGCATCGGCCACATCTGGACAGGGCTCCCGGTCGAAGACGTCGCTGGTGAAGAATGCCAACGGCGTCATGGCACTCACTCGGTCAATGCCCAGCTGCTCGAGGCCGATCTGCCGCAGAGTATTGATAAGCGGCTGGACGGCCGGCTGTCGCTCGTCCTCAGCAGACAGACCAGCAATCAGACGGTCCAGAAACGCCTTCTCGTCGGGGACAGGCGCCTGGTTATAGTTGTGATGCACATTGCCACTCCACAAAGACGCCGCCAGCGCCCGGAGGTGCCTCAGCTGCAGCTGGGACCGGAGCTCAGTGGACCGCAGCAGCACAGAGCGCGCCCTTTGCTGGTCTTGGTTGAGGAAGGTCCGCATGATGTCTCCACTCTCGCCGCTTGAGTAGGCGAACTCGGACAGGGGCATGTCTTGTGCTCCTGTTTGGAGGCACATGGTGGCGAGGAAGTGGACAAAGTGGAAGAGGCTCTCGCGAACAGCTGACTCATCTCTCAATTCAACCCTCAACACCTGATGACACGTGGCGACGACACCAACCAACGTGGCAGACAGACGCATCCATCGAGTTGAAGTGCAGCTGTCTTCGCACTCACTCGTTGCACCACAATGGGCAGTGCGGCGTCTTGTGGGATTCTGCGGTCCAGGTCGGAGAAAAGCGACCCCTCCAGCGTGTCAAGGAAACGAATCGACGGCAGCTCAGCGGCGAGCATAGGCTGATATGGACAGTAAGTCAAGCAGCCGTAGTTAGTGCACTGTTGAGTGTGTTGTTCCCCACCTTTTCTGTGATTCTGAGGCACTGGATGACCTCCGATTGCAGCACCTTGAGGAATCGATACTCCACAGGGCCGCTGCTCTCCAGTCTATAGTCTCTGAAAAACAAAACGAGGAGGGACGCAGCGGGGATTCATCGCTGCTGCTGAAGTGAACGTATCCAAATACCTGTGGACGTAATGTGGCAGGAAGGGGAGGAGATGCTCGCTGCTCCTGAAGATCAGCAGGTCGTCCTCCGTCACTTTGAATGGCGTCGCCTCGAGCGAGAGAGGCACAAAGTCCATCTTCTTCCTGAGGTCTTCGATGACGCTCCGCTGCTTCATGGCCAGCGTTGAGTAAAGGGCTTTGCTCGCTATGCCGAGACCCTGCTTGCTGGGCAGAAACATCGATAGGCGCAGCTCGTGTAGATCCATAGTCATCGCGTCCCGCTTGATGGCGGCATGCTTGCCGCCATCGTCGAAATTGACGCAATCCCACTGCTTGACGTACGGCCACACTCCCTTCCATGCCTTCGTGAAGTCCTCCACGGCCCTTTCCATTTCAGCTCGATGCAGGGCTTCTGTCATGCTCTGCTTGATCTCGTCAAGGAAGCTGTCCAGAGTGCGATCCGCTGCCTCCTTGCTCGTCATGCGGTTGTCGGCATGCACCCGCATCAGGTGGAAGAAGCGCAGAACAGCTGGAAGGTAGCACAGCAGCTGCAGCTCCTGTTCGTGTCGCTTGAGGCACTGCAGGACACCGAACTGACCCTCAGTGTCTGGCTGTGAATCCAAGTACAGCCAGAAGCCTTGCTGGTCCATCGGGGGATAGTACTTGACTTGCCGAGGCAGATACATCAGCCGCTCCACATTGCTGCGGTTCAGCTGCGCGTTCACGTACTGGAGATCGACTCGGACAGCATCCTCTATGTCGTTGCGTGTCAGCGTTTCGACAGCGTCTTGGACCGCCCTCTGGCCTTGCGCGACGAGGTCGTTTTGCCTGCCCACGAAATCGTCCCGAATCGACTGCACAAGGGCTCGCTCGAGCGCTTGTCGCTGAGCGAGGCTGGTCAATGGCCAGCAGTGGACCGCAGCCGGCACAGCCTGACCGCCGTTCCGGTCCAGCAGCAACTGGATGGCCGACACAAGCGCGAGGGAAGTACTCTCCATTGTCACATCATTGGCAAACAGGCACCTCTTCAATGCTCGAATGTCTGTCAGGATCGCCTCAGCGTGCCGCTCAGCTTGGTCAGGCTGGGTCCCCGCATAGGCCATGACAAATGTGGACGAGAGGCAGAAGCGAAGGACACGGAAGAGGGCCGGGTGGAGGCTACGCTCTGTGCGTGTGGGGTCCACCGGTTCGGGCAAGTAGCCCTTCGTCTCGGGGAAGCTGAAGGTGTTCCAGTTGGCGAGCACGGACTGGACGTTCCCAAGCTGCCGATTCCCGGGCTGGAGCTGACCACGTAGACCGCCGATCGGCGCCCCGCAGCCGGGCTCGATACATGTGCCTTGGCTTGAAATGTGATGACACTCACCTTCAAATGGACGCACAACAGCAGTAAACGACCTATGAGCACCTGCCTTTATCTCTGTCGTCCTCTCTGTTGTTGTCAATCGTACCAGTCACGTAAGGATGGCGCTTCGGGCATGTGTAGACCCAGAATGCAGGCGGAAAGGCACGGATGGCCTCGTGGAACCTGCTCTGGGCCACTCCAGGCAGAAACTGTGTCGTCGCATCATCAGGACGGGCAAAAAGTTGCAGGAAGAACCCCAGCCCTCCCCCCGTCGCCTCTTGCGGCAGACACAGCAGACCCAAACAGAAGAGCAGAAATGGCTCGAGGCAGCCAGCTTGCTCCAGACTGCACAGCGGGCCTGCCATGAGGCCTTGCAGCTCTTGGCGGTTCAGCAACCGATGGATGAACGCCCTGGCGTGGGGGCCCTGGAGCTGCTGCGCGTGCAGGTGGTTGAGCACGAGATCCTCCAAAGCATCCAAACGAGGCCGCTCTGCCGCAACGTCGTCCTGCTGCTGCTGCTGCTGCTCATGGCGGCATTCAGCAATGTAAAGGTCCACTGCCGCAAGGACTGCGCCGAATACCTGGCTGTACCGGTTGGTATGCCGTCCGTCTGGTGCCCCCATCAGTCGCGCCACCACATGGGGCATGGGCAGCACGCCACTGACGAACTCCATCAGCGTGCGTCGGGCAGCAACGAAGCACGGCTGGAGGGCAAACATGCTGGCCTTCTTGGAGTCCGATGGGGTCAGGAAGAGCCTCGCAGCCCCTGTGCGGGTGATTCCCGGGTTGTCCAGCCTCTCCGACGCCCTCTTGAGAATCCTTCGGGCCCCCTGGAGGTCCGTCCCGCCGTTGCTGAGCGAACGAAGGATGTGAATGACGAGCGAGTGCCGACACGCAGGCGCATTGCATTGGAAGGCAACGAAAGACAGGGCGGCGATGATGGAGTCTCGCTGCAGATCAAGTTGTGTGAGGCTCTCTGCTGGGCGGAGGTGCCGGACGAAAAGGTCATCCAGGAGGTTCCGCAGCGCCTCTTGGTCAATCGGCTGCTGGCGATGCGGCCTGGTGGTGACCATCCCCTTCAGTGCCTTGGCAGCCAGCTGAGTGATGAGCTTCAGATGGGCGAAGACCATCAGCCGCCAAAAGGAAGAGCACGCTCGTCTTTGAGGCGGGTGCGTGGCCGCAGATGATGAAAGCGGCGCCGCCGTAAGGAGCAAATCTGGAAGCTGTTGCAGCAGGCCGGGCAGTGATGCGCTTGTCTCTTGGGCATGGAGCCAGTCAATCCGACATTGCTGACACGCACACACACACGCACACACACACCACATATACACATGCACGCCAATAGGAATGGTGTGTGTGATGCCGCTCACCACCAGCAGTACGGCAAAGCTGTCATCGTCTGAGTTGGCCTCCTTGTCAATCTCACACGACAGCATCTCATCCACTATGGCCAGGCTGCCACGGTCATGAGAACAGTCCTTCATCATCTCAAAGAAGGCGCCCAAGAGGCTAGCGGCGACCGCTGAGTTGACTGGCACTGCGTGGGCTCCTTCGAAAGGCAATCCACGCCACTCGTCGCGGAAGGGCTCCTGGCGGGCTAGAAGGATGTCGAGCGCAGAATGCAGCACCTGGGGCAGCACCCCGACACGATCCTCGTCTGGAAGGCTGCGAAGTCCAGACAGGTGGGCTCGACAAGCTCTCACCAGCAGCAGGGAGGAGCTGTCGGCGAGCCTCTGGCTCTCGTCAAACTCACTAGTGTCGTCAGCAGAGGCCGCAACGTGCGCCACAAGGTCGACCACGAAGTAAAACTGCTCCCCGAAGTTGGAATGTTGCCTGGTGCATCGCAGCTCCTCCACCTTCTTCTTGAAGGCACGTGCAATCGCTTGTGCGATGGCGCGGGCGCCTTGGGCGTGCCCCTTGAGGCTCTGCCATGTCTGGGAAAGGACACTGAGCCACTGCAGATCACTCGGCAGCCTCGCAGCCATAGAGAACGCGGCAGATGAGCTCTCTGCCTCAGACACGGAATTGTCGTCCTGCAGGGGCGCGTCAAAGGGGCTCGACCAGGCGCGCATGAGGCCGTCGTAGCTGAGGGGGAACTCCTGATCAAGGAGGCCATATGACTGGCCGGTGCTGGCCGTGATGGATTGAAAGGTCGCCGCAACAGCCTCGCAGCCCAGAAGGTTGACAAACACCTGAGCCGAGGTCGGAAGCTCCTTGTCAGACGCTGCATTCAGCTCGTGAGCTGCCCGTTGCCCCTGCTGGAGACTCCTCTTGACGGCGGCTTCCTTGAGCTCTCGTGCAAGCTTGACGATGTCCAAAAAGAGGCGATCGTGGATCCTGTGTACAAAGGATCCAACCAGCATCAGTGTAGACATATGCTACAGTCTGCCTGGCTTACCACAAGGCAAGATGAACATCGATGTATCTCAAGCCCGCGAGCTCTTCTTCATTGCCATCACCTCCAGGGCATTGGAGCGCCCAAACAAGCCACACGAGTGCCGTCTTGAGCGTCTCTTCTTTCGCTCCGAGATGTAGCACATTCGACAGGACGTCCCGCACATATCGCACACACAGCTGCACGGGCAGGTCGGTCAGCATTGGGAAGGAAAGGTGGGTCAAATCACTGCATACCCACACACGAGGGACAATCAGTCACAGGATCCTGTCTGCACCATGGGCTTGTGCCATCAGTCACCTGAGGCGCTTGCGACGGTTGGCTCCTCTCTCCATCACATCCATTTGTGCACGCACGACGGGTGCGATGAGCCACGAAAAGGGGAACTCCACAGAGTAATGCGAGTTGAAGGCGGCACCACCACCAAGGCCCAGCTGTCGAGTGGGATGCGTCGTCTCGTGCTCATCACCATCGGCGGTGGGCATCGTGGGGTTCTCCACTGACACAAACTGTGTGCCTGGGGGCTTCACGATGTCCTTGGCGAAAGTGGCAGCCTGAAAAGTGGAAAACATGCATAATGCACAATATGCATGGCGCCACGTGCACGCTCCATCCGTGCTGCACGTACCTGTGCAGAGCCCGAGATCGCAGGGCAGCGGAACAGGTCCATCCACATCTCCCGCGTCTCTTGGTGCACCAGGAGGTCGAGATTGCTGTGGCGATCCACAAAGGCCACGACATTCACAAATGTGGTCACACAGGCATGCCGCAAATACGAAAAGAGCCAGCCTCGGGTGCTCTTTGAGGGCACTGCCATCTTCTGCGCCTCGTCGAGCCAGCTGGCAGTTGTGTGGAAGACGCTGTGATGAGCTAGCTCCTCCACACATCGCTGCAGGACGGCATCCATTGGGCCGCTGGTAAGCTGTAGAAGACCTACCAGCCTGTCGAGCCTCGCCTTCAGGATGTCGACTGACCGCGACCGCGTCTGCTGTCCAGATTCTTTGTCGGACGGGTAGTAAAGCGACGACACCACAAGACCGATCTCACCCTGAATCATCATCGAGAGGCTAAGAGAGTCGCGCGGCACGTCGCGGGACAGAGAAACGAGGGGCGAGACGTCCTCATCGATTGGTCGTGGTCTGTCGGGGTCTGGCGCTGCGGCTTCTCCATAAGCACCCTCCTCCCTCGTCTCTTGCGACACGGACCGAGGGAAGGCTGGACGGTCGAGGAAATCGCGCAGGGACGGACAGGCCTTTCGCAGTGGCTCTGTCGGCAGCACTTCGTCGCAATACACCACATGCCAATCAGCAGTGAAGACAAGACTATGGCCCTGCTGTTGAGAAATGAAGATGAGATGACGATTGGCTGTGGGGACGTCGACCGCCTCTCCTGAAGTCTCCTCGGCAGCCAGTCTCGCCTTGAATGCCTTCCTCTTCTCACTCGCCCAAAACAGTGCGTGGCGGACGGTCGATTCCGGCACGGCCGCCTGATCGCAGAGGACATAGAGGTAAGAGCTCTCGGTCTTTGGACTGAAGAGGGCGTCGAGCTCATCTTCAAGTGCAGCCATGGCGTCGCTGCCATCCAATGTGAAGAATCGCCTCTCGACGCTCGACGCCTGGTCAGACTGTCCTGCACTGAAGTATCCCTTGAGGGACTTGGCGCTCCACAGCCGATGGCTCTGCTCGGTCAGGACACACAGCTGAAGGCCGGTGGAGTCCCCCCATGGCACATTCTCCTCGGCCCACAGGTCGTCATCATCGTCCTGCCCAGCAGCCCACGTCTTGTCGCCTGCGACCAGCACACACAAATATGATTCATGTTTGTGTGACAACAGACGCCACCCGCTATTCATCAAGTGGTGACCTACCGAGAAGGATTTGGAGGCCTCGCAGTTGGACATCAGTGAGGGAATCGTGGACTTGCCAACTGAAGTAGGTCTCCAAAAGTCTGTCCTTGATGTGCACCACTGTCCTAGAATCGCGAGTCATTCTCTGGAGCAACTCGATGCGTCCGGTCATCATCTCCAGCATCGCGCATGTGCGGGCAGCCCAGACCAGGCGACTCATAGCAATCGTCATCAGTCTGTCCTTTTCGCTCTGCTGGTCTGCGTCAGCCACAGACAGCACTGAGAGGACGAGCGACTGGAGGGTGTTGGCAGCGTCGAAGCCTGGGAGAATGATCTCGCCGAGATGTAGGGCCTCACCACTGCTGCGTAAGATCAGCCTGTGTTGCAGCTCCTTCATCAGCCAATCGTGTGGCAGTGTCAGGGCCTTCTGCATGGTCAATTCAACCTGACGAATAGGCACCAACAGCAATGTCTGGCAGCATTGGTGTGCGTGTGCCTTGCATGTGTTGTACCTTCTCAAATCGGTTGAGGAAAGGTGGCGTGAGGCGCTTAAGGTCAGCCCGATCGCACACCACCACACAACGGAACGACCGGTGGACGGGAAAGTACCGCGAGTGCGAGTGCATGGACAAACGGGCAAGTCGCCGGCCCGCTTCAACCTTGTAGTGCTGGTTGAGCATGTCCAGCAGACTGCTGAAGATCAAAAAGCAGTTGACGAGCACCACCAGCTGACCCGTCCGCATCGCCAGCTGAATCTTCTGCAGATCCTGAAGCAGCGCTGCGTCGTCCGAGCTCTGCGACCCGATGATGATCTTGGTCGACTCGAAGTGCGCCAGGCCCAGTTGAAAGAGCAGCAGATGACCTGCCGCTCCGTCCGTGATGAGCAGGAGGTGGCGCGCCTTCTCGTCATTGAGGTTCCAAGCGATGCGGCTGACCATAGTCGGGCCCCCTTTACACGTCTGATTCGGAGTGCGGAGACGCGTGAATCGCTCGAGGAAACTCTCCGCCTCCGATCGCTCAGTCTCGTCATCCTGGCTGCGGCCGGCCCACTCACGTCGCCGCTCCAGCTGGTGAAGCGCCGTTGCACAGCTGTTGCAGTAGACCACCTTGGTGGCGCAATGTTGCCATGCTGCGGGCTGCTCGCGACGGGTCTTGCCACTGGCTAATGCCTTGGTCAGGCTCTGGAGCAGGACGCCCTTGTCCTTGGGCTGCGGGACGCCGTCACACTCAGGGATCTCCCCGAAGGCCCGCTCGATGGCCCACTGCGCTAGGTGGAGATCGAGAGGCACCACTCCAGTACCGCCGGGGGGCGACGAGAGGCTCCCGTGAAGAAAGGTCAGCAGTGCGTACATATCGCGGCTGCCGTAGTACCAATTGTACTGCATTGAGGATGAAACAAGACAAAACCGTCAGGTCAAGGAGTCGTTTTTTGGTGTACGGTCAGGGCGTCACCTCTCGATCGTTGAACTTCAGTTCGAGTATGGACGAAAGGGCCGCAACACTCTCACGCAACTCCTCATTGATCGCAACGAACCCAACTGACGAAAAGCAACAAAGTCAGGTGGGGATGTAACAAGAAGTGGAGTCAAAGTGCAGAGCCCTACCCTCGTCGACGCGTGAATGGGACTCGCTTCGCCGGTCGTAGAGTTCCAGCTGGTGGGATGAGGTTGACGACGAGATGATGGAGAAGGCGGTCTCGGAGAGGTCGGACGCAGATGGAGTGCCCCTGCACATCAGAGGGAGGTAGCATTCAGTGTCGACACTGCTCTCTCCTTGGCTTCTCGACGCAACCCACCTGAACAAAAAGACTCCTCTGTTCATCTTAGCGGGATCGATTTTCCACTTCGAGATGGCGACAATGGCTATTTTGACGCTCTTGCCGTCCACATTGACGCCTGTACACGACCAGCAAAGACGAATAGATGCTGCATAGTGACCAACCTTTTCATCCACCATGGTCGATCAGGCCGTGTAGGGTCATCAAGGGATTGTGTGGCGACAACACAGTCTCTACAAGAGACCAGAGGACAGGACACACAGAACGACCATGAGATGCCAAGACAGACCTTTTGCACCATGTGTTGCACCCACCTCCGATCTCCTCCAGCACCAGCACGGCCGTGTGCTCCGAGTCGGATTGTAACTCGCGCAGTTGGACCTTGGCAGCATGGTTGGCCGCCTGGAGGATGGCATGTGGCGTGGTGAGGGGGGAGCACTGGACCGTCTTCTTGGTCACCGATGGAAGGAGGGACCAGAAGGGATGCTCGCGATCGGACATCGAGGCCGATAATAGCTCCATTGATAACGACTTGGACGTGCCTGGCTTGCCCTGAACAAACAGAGGCCGTCCGAATGCAGCTGCCTCTTCTGTGCCGTTCCCTCTCGTTGCTGACCACAAGGAAGATGGCTGTCTTTGTGATGATGGCCACTAGCAGGGTGAGCGTGTTCTCGAGCAGCATGTGGTTGAGGGCGATGCCCGACGGGCGAATCAGCTGGTCAGCAACAAACTCAGCCAACTCAAAGAAGGGCGCCTCGAAGTGCTCGGTGTTGGGCACCGGGAAGAAGCCCTCGTTGGTGTTCTCAAAGTGGCCGCGGACACTTTCCCACGTCTTGGTCATCTCAGCCGCAAACTCTGGCCTCCTCTCGCGCGGCAGACGCAATGCATAGCCTACAAAGCACAAAACAAGACGAATAGACAAGTTGCTGCTGCTGCCCGCTCAGCCGTGGACGTGCTTACAGATGGTGAGGGATGTCTGGAGTGCCGCCGACACCTTCATGGCCCTCGTCCCGCCCGTCTCGACTGTCTTGGCCACCTTGGACTGAGCTTTCTTGTCAATGAGGTCCAGAATGACGGGGATCATGTCGATGCATCGGCGGATGTCGCGAAGGGACACTGCGCTCGTGTCGCCTTTGTAGATATCGTGACGGACGAAGTACTGGGCTTGCGACACTGCGCCACACGCACCACAGATATCGCTTCGCGGCTGTGTCTAGCCGTTGTGGCGTACCGAGGGCAACAATCAGTGTGCGGAGGTGCCGCCAGTATGTTTCGGTCCCTCCAAATGCGCGTAGCTCATCCAGAAATGCAGCATCGGACCTGAGAGGAGGACAACAACGATGGACAGCGAGTCGCTGACGTGCATCTTCATCGTTGACACCCACCGCAGCTTCTTCTCCACGGGTGAGTAGGCGCATATGGCCTCTGCGTACAGCGACTCGTCAGTGACCATGCACTTGTCCAGAAAGAGAGTGCGGCGGTGGCATGCAGCCTCAGCTGCAGCGGGCTGAAGGACGTTCTCAGCCGGACTGCCGAAGTCCCACACGTAGGAAATCATGCTCTCGTCCAGACGGTACCTGACCACACAGAGAGCCATGAATGGCGATCAGTCCAGCCTCCCCCTTCCTTTTTGAGCGTACACGGGGTATGCCAGTCCAGCGAACGGGCTGATTCCTTGTCGATGAAGTGATGCCCCATTTGGTGACGCAACGTCCTCTCCGAAGCGCATCAGCTCCAAGTCCAAACCAGCACTCTCATGCTCGGCCAGTGTGGTGCGCTTCGCGCGTGTGGGGTTGATGCAGCAGATGAAGGCGATCGACTCGGGGATGCGGACGCCGTTGAGGAAACCATCGACCACCGCCTCTTGATGGACCACACGTCACTGCTGGAGTTGGCCTCGTCAAGCAACACATACACCTGAGCACGAAAGCGCAAAGAGGACACACTCGATGAGGCGCACACTCTTGCCCTTCCATGTCATGGCTCGCTTGACACACTTTCTTGGCAGCTGAGGCGTTTCTCGCTGCCTCGATGGCCGGCCGGAGGTATTCCTCGAAGTCGGCAGCCTTCATGCCGCCATGGACATTGACAGCGAAGAACGACGCGCCCAGCATTCTGGAGAGGAACTGCACCAACTGTGTCTTGCCACAACCAGTCTCACCTGCATCCGTACAACATTTTTTTGCCACCTACCTGCCTGCCTGCCTGCCTGCCTTTGTGGTGTACCTTGCAGAATGACAGGCATCCTTGCCTTCATGCGCATCTCCACGGATATCAGCCTGACCAAGTTCTCCAGCGTCACTGTCACCTCGGGAAGCATCGCATGTTTCATGAGGAACCGCTTGACGATACCGCTGTCCGTGATGCTCTCGAAGGTCGGCATGTCGTCCTCATCCTCCAGGCCTATGAGGACTTCGCCCATAACCAAGTCCTCATAGGCCTCCCTGGCTGTCTCGTAAGCCCGCTGAATTGCCCTGTCATCCTTCCTTACTGCTGTTTTTCTCTGCAGCTCTTCGAGGGCCGTCAGGCTGTCGAGCAGACGAAGATGTGTCGGTGCATGAAACAACTCCCTGAGCAGTGTCGACGGAGAGGAAGGCGTGTTAGGCAAGTTCTTGTGATTTGTTCGTTCTTCAGCTCCCTCCTTACCAGATGCGTCGCCGTCCCTTGTCAACACTCACGAGCGTCTCACGCTCCACGGCCTCGCTATCCTGAGGGCTGAAGCGAAGGTTGTCCCTCATCCACGCCACCAGATACTGTGTGCCCTTGAGACCCTGCGGGTACTCTGCCAGGATTGACGCCAGCAGCGACTGGCCCTCCTGATGCAGACCGATGGGGTTGTAATGTGGGGTGCCGTCACTGTCCTTGTGGTGAATGACGAAGAAGAGATGCGACCCTTGGAAGGTCATCATCCGGTCAAACCGCCTGATGTAGCCGTCCTCGGTGCTGGACAGGCCCGGCGGGGGCTCCACTGCTGCCGCGGCGACATCGATCGCGCTCCGCAGCATCAGATTCGCGAGCAGATGCTTGAACATGCTGACCAGCTTCTGCTCTCCTGCGTCAATCGCGCTCGCGATATGCGTGTCGAAGGCCATGATGGAGCGGAGGGCTGGACTGATGAACTTGACGAGCCGGACCTTCTCGAGCAGGCGAGGTTCGTTACCTATACCATCCGCCACATCTCTGCCGTAAAGCTGCAGTCTTGTTTGAGGCCGGAGCACCTCAGTAATGGTGGCATCGACGTCCTCTGCCGCCATCTAATCGAGGGAAAAATACAACAACTCATGAGTGAAGATGAGCAGCTCCATTGTGCTCCCCATCCTTACCTGCTCCAGCTGGGAGGTGGACGGCAGCGCGCGAGTGGGAAGTGTATCGAGGAAGCCACGAAGCATCCTCGCACTCTCGAGCATTGCGGTGTCTGCAGCCTCCCTCACCCTGTAGAGCATCTGGCAGTCATCCATCACGGGCAGGAGAAGGGGCATCTTGGCCTCGAGATGGGGCGTCACAGCATGGTGCGGAAGCAGACGACAGATTGGAAGGTGGGCGATGGTCGCATTCACATCGACGCCATTTGACGGCAGTTCGACGTGCAGTCGGTCGCCTTCCCTCATGCGGATGACGTCACCACCAGGGGTCACCAGACGGCCGACAAAGACGAGCTGAGATAGTACGTTGTTCAGATCCATGCCATTGGTTGACGGGGACACCGATAGATGGAACCCCACAGCCGTTCTGTTCTTGCTGAACATCTCCACCCGAGTCCGCTCCTCCTCGACCCGCCGGAAGGCAGTGTGCAGCGTCGACGGATCAACGTCATGGTTGAGTGTGATGGTGCAAAAGGCCTCGTTCTCCGCTGCGCACTCAAACAGCACCGTTCTTGTCTTGCCAGTGCACGGCTCTCTGGTGGCGTAGACCATCGACCTTGCACCGCCGACGTTCCGAATCAGCTCCTCAGCTGGCGACGTCCTGGGGAATTGGAACAACAAGGGTCATCGAGTCAGAGGATCAGTTGTTCCAAGTCGGTGAGTGGCGGTGAGTACCTCTGTCCGCAGATAACGTCAAGATGCATAACTCTGGATGGAAACGTCTTCGCAAGGACGGAGGGCAGCTTGGCCGGAGGGGCGGCCATGGGCGCCTCAAAGCCGATGGGCGCCACTTGTGATACCTTCGTCGACTGCAAGATCAGCATCGGTAGGGTCTTGGCGAGAGTTGCTTTTCTTGCCTTCTTCTCCATCCTAGAGGGAAATATACAAGGCATCTTGCATGGCATGTCTGTGTGTACCCGTTGGCCTATTCGCTTACCCGCGGAGCTCCTCTCTCAGTCGCATGATGACCGACACGATTTCCTGCTCGGTCTCTACCGATACCTCGACACAGCACAGCATGAACAGCCCCCTCCTCTGCCCGCCGATCAGGTCCTCCAGCAGGTGGCTCTCTGCCCATCTCTCGAGAAAGCTATTCAGATCAGCAGTCGCTGTCCTGCTGGTCAGAAACAACACCTCCCTGCACGCAGGTGTACACATAACAGACAATGGCACATGCCCACGTCCTGGCTTCTCCTGTGTGTCAGCTGACCATGGAGCTGGCTTGCGAGAGAACTCCATGTAGTAGAGGACCGACGCGACCTCCAGGAAAAGAGTGCTGTCCATATCCGTCTCGCCAACGACGAATGGAAGGTCCTCGCGGATCGGCAGATCTGACAGAGTCTGCACCAGGCTTCGAAGTGGTCGGGCCTGCGAAGTTGCTGTGTCAGACATGAGCCCTGGAGGCAGCGCCTGCCCAGTCAGGAGGCCCTGAGGCCTTTGGAAGGCGTACTCGAACGCCGCCCGCAAGAAGCTTGCAACGCCCGAGAAGACCTCCCTCAGTCCTTGGCTCTCGTCCTGTATCCCCTCAAACACACCTTGCAGCGGACCGATGGCAGGCCGCAGCAAATCCATCTTGACAGGGGCCACAAACGACAGCGACGATGCCAACTCGTCCAGATGGACGGCCTCACCAATCTCGTCTCCCGTGCCGGCGGCTTGAGCACACTGCCTCGCCAGCTTCAAGATGCGGATGAGCTGCTTCGGGCCAGACAGCAGCGACAGGATGGGGAGCGCCCTCCGCCTCTCCGCCAGTGTCCTGCGCCACACCAGTCATTCGTCCTCCAGCGCCTCCCTCTCCCTCCGGAATTCGTCCACCTCGCAGCTCACACGAATGGGCAGAACACCTTCTTGGTAGCGCAAATGACCATCGCGGCAGAGACCAGTAAGCAGGTCTCGAATCCTCACAGAGCTCTCAAGGTTGGCTGCAAAGGCCTTCACGTAGGCTGCAGAAACGTAGGGCGCACATAGCACTCAGGTTCGCCGGAATGACGCCCCATGGTTTCTGCCCGCTCACCTGTTTTCTTGTCGCGATTATGGAGGAGGCTGCTGACTGTAAGAAGCTCCTCACCGCTTGCTGTCGTCGCTGCAGCTGCAGGCTCCTCATTGTCGTCGTCCTGGCTGGTCGGAAGGTCCTGTACAACACGACATAACAAATGAATGGGATCGAGTGCCTGCCACTTCCCTCCACTCCTCACCTGCAGAGAGATCTGGTTGCGCAGCTCGGTCAGGTCCTCGTATGACAGCTCATTGCAGGTCCCGGCCGGCAGCTTGTAGGATGCAATGAGTGTGGCGTCACTCGCATTGTCGATCACGCGGATGTTGAATGAGCCGAAGTTGTACAGGTGACACAGAGTCTCGAGCGCCTGCGGACAAGACCAAGGAAGCGAGCGACGTGATGCACGATTGACATTTGTGTGTTGTGTTTCGTCGCAGATGCCATGTACGCACCGTGACGCCCTCAAATTGAGCAGCTGCCGACAGCATGTGTGTGATGCGCGCCGCATGGCTGGTGTACAGCTCCATGTCGAAGGCAGACAGCATCGAACACGTGTGCAGGAACTCCTCCAACGTCGCATCAGCTGACGAAAGATACGGGAACAACTCGTGACGAAGCCGCCTGTAAATGCGCAGCCAGCAGCAGAGCGGAATGACCTCTGTCCACCTTCATTCTCTATCGTCACTCATTCACCTGAATGATTGCAGCAGGTCGACGTCCAGCGGATCTGAAGCATGACTCAGCCTGCGCAACACGAACAGCAGGAGATGACCGATTTCGCCACCCTGAACTGTGCTGTGCTGTACTCACCGCATCTCAAAGAATGTTGAGAAGGATGCATCATCCGTATGGTAGAGGATCCTCCTGAGCAGCGACGACTTGATGGCACCGTGGAGGCCTTTGAGCTGGTCGAGGGACACATGGCTGAGCGACGGGCATATTCGGGTCATGTCTGACACCCGCTCCTCTAGTTGCTGTTTGGTCGTTGCGCCAGCGACCTCAGTCGCGAGCTCCCTCAACCGCTGCATGTCCTGGCTGCTGCTGGCGAAAGGAAATCTCGACATCTCATGCTCTTTGATCAGCGCAAGCAGTGCCTCCACTTTTGGCACAGTCTCCCACGCGATGATCCATCGCTCCGTGCTGCTGACGAGGTCAGCATCCCCTGAAAGCCTCTGGGCAGGGATGCCTATCTGCCGCATGAGCTGCTGCAGGTGGGCGACCTCCTGGGTCAGGATGCGATGCAGCTCTGCCTGCCGAATCTCTCGGTCTTGATGCGCCCTCTCGCGGGCCTGCGAAGGCGTCTCGTGTGCCGCTGGCGGTCTGCTGCTGGGCAGCAGCGCCATCACCGGTTGAACAAGAGGCCAGCACTCGGCATTCAGGGCCCTTGGCGACACGAGCAGGCCGTATGCGGACTGGAGCTGCTCCTGGAACTTCGTCACTGACGCCTCCACGAGCTGGGAAAAGGCTGCTGGGTCGAAGACGGTGGTCGGCGGTCCGCAGGGCGCCAGTTTGGTCGAGTCCAGCATCAGCTTGTAGCACAGCGGGGAGCTCACCGCACTGGCAGCGAAACCCATGGCCTGCCAGAAGAGAAAAAGGCACCAGAGCTGCTGTTCGTGCAGCGATGTTGTCAGACTGGAATCACCTGCAGTGTTTCATCTCGCTCCACGAGAGCAAAGGCCCTCCAGTTCTTGAGACCAACGGACTCATCTCTGAAGAAAAGGCAGGAGAGCATACGTCCGGACCGTCCCTTCATGTTTAATCTGTGTCCCCCGACCTGAGCGCAGCGTGTTCATGGAGGCGCGTGCGACAGCTCTCCCGGTAGACACCCAGGGGGCCGTCATCGGTACAGCACTGAGTGAGGAAGGCCTCACACGTCCCCTCCTTGTCCTCGATGGCCCGCTTCTTTCGCATGAGATCATCGATGGCCTTGACAATCGCCTCCCTCTCACTGTCTTGGCCGGCAATTGCAGCAAAGGCCTCCTGGTGCCTGTAGATGAAGTCGAGAGTTGCCTTGTAGACATCTCCGTTGCCCAGCTGATGGAGGAGATCGCGATAAGGAGCCAGGAATGATCGCTGGAGGGAAGTGACGATTGTCCTGAGCTGTGGGATGGCTGCGGTCAGATTGGACGCCACAACATCAGCCTCGAATCGGGATAAGAATCGGTAAAGAGCCGCCTTGTCGACCATCCGCACCACTTCGAGGGGCACGCTGGACTGAGCTGTGCTTGGGGGCAGCTTGGTGGACTCCTCCAGCTGCCTGAGGAGGGCCGTGGTGCAGTCCACAAGATACTGCAGCTGGGCGGGCTGGTAGCGCGACACATCCATGCGCTTTAGCGTCTTGTGGATCTTCTCAAAGAACTGCAGCTGACTCGACTCATCGATTGCTGCTGCACCGAAGACCTCCAATGCCTGCTTGTTCAGGATCTGCAAACCCACACAAGTGACCTTTGCCATTCTCTTCTGCACGTCTTTCTGCAGCGGACCTGCTGTAGGTTTTGTGGCAGCTGGGGCAGCAGCTGCACCAGCGGAGTCTCCATGATGTTGCTGTTCACGAAGAAGCTTTTCGGAAGATTGTTGACGACCTCAGCTACCAGCTGGCTAAGGACGCTGTCACTCGACTGCTCGTCCCACAGGTTTGACAAGGCCGCCAAGACATCACGATAGATCTCGAAAGCAGCTTTCTGCACATGCAGATGCAGTGAGCAGGACAGCCGAATCAATACGAGGCCGACATGTGATTGAGCATGTAGGTATTTGCCTGTTGACCTGGCGGTCTGCTTGGACGCTGTCGAGGTAGCGGCGGATGCGTTGTCGCAGCAACTGGAGCACAGGACCCATCTTGGGCAGCTCGCTCGCCCGGTGAGCCTCCGGCAGGGCGAATATGGCGGCAAACTTGCTGATGATGAGATCGCTGCGCTTGTGCTTCAGCGCCATCTCAACCTGAGGGACACAGCACAGCCACACGAGGCGTTTAGCCCATCCGGCGAGCTCCCCGCTGCTTCTCGTACTGCGAATGCTGGGGCTTTCATGATCTCCTCCAGCAGGTCGATGACCGAGACCACACACGTTGGATCCTCGAAGAAGAAGGCTACGTGCTGGTGGACGGCATCAAGAACGATTCGTAGAAAATGCAGCAACTTGCTTCCTACAACAGATATCACACAATCAGCTCGTATCCATCATGATTACTCTATCCGCCTTCCCAGCCCTACCTTCTTCATGTGACGCGTGTGTCGGATACGCCCGCAGTCTGTGGACCAGGCCCTTGCACACGAGGGAGGCGTTCCGGAACGGGCTGTCCAACACGAGATCGATGGCATCCTTCAGGCACTCCCGCATGGGCACCAGCAGGAGGATGGTCGTCGCCTTCTCCACATCCAGCCGGCCGTCGGTGAAGCACAGCTCGATCAGCTCTTTCAACACGTACCGCATGACATCGACGTCTTGGCACTGCCCCAGGAGCTGCGTGTGGCTGACGGACTCGCCCACGAGCTGCGCGCGGAACAACGACACCAGGATGTAGCCCATCAACTCGCTTTCGTCCTTCGAATTGCGGAGAGCGTGGTGAGAGGGCTTGAGGAGCTGAAGAAACTTGTCCATCCACTCAGCCGCAATCTGAAGGAACGCAACAGACAGCGCCACAGTGATACCCCCTCTAAACGCCCTCTCATTGCGTTCCCTCATCTGTGCCCTCTCACCTGACGAGCGTCTCGGCTCGCGGCCAGGTGTGGGATAAGATGGAAGGACCGGCGCAGTCCAGCAATCAGCTCAGAAGCAGCCGAAACAGCCAGGGGACGCCGAGAATCGATGCAGTCGGGATCGAATGCGAACATGGGGTGGACGCTCGTGCCAAGCTGCAGGACCTCCCTGATGATCGTGAGGTACTCGGAGTCGATATACTTGATCCGCGCAGTTTGCATCGCCACACTTGCTGCCTGGATCAGCGCCTTCCATTCAAGGATGTCAACCCGGCCCTCCCTGGCGAGCTTCTTGAGCATGGGTGGCATAAGGTAGACGAGCGACGAAGTGTTGCGCCAAGCCCATGAGCCCCGGGGCAGCAGGTGGACCTGCGGATCACGAGCTCCTGGTGTGAAAAAGTCCCGGATCATCTTCATGGGCGTCTGCCAGAAGCCTTGCACCAAATGATCCTTGACGTACAGGACGTGCTGGCGAGATGCCACGATGCCGTACTTGTTCTGCAGGTAACTGAAATCGATCCATCGGTCGTGGGTTGGCGACCAGGTGGATGCGTCACCCTTCTCGTAGATGAGCTCGTGGCGCGGGGGCACGGCGACTGCGAGCTTGCAGTTGATGTGAGGCTGCTCGATGCGGCACTTGAGGTAGAAGAAGATGTGATCCGGCTTGACGCCCTGCACCCGCTCCATCTTGTTGGCCGCAGAGAGCTGCCACCCAAACGCGTCAGAATGCAGATAAACTCTGCCTGTATACAGACATTCATCCACACAGATGCACACAGGCATCTGCAGTGTGTGTCTTGGTGCGTTCGCTTACATTCCTCTGAGATGCATGTTGCTGGGAAGACGGCCCAGAAGGTGTGAACACCCGACTCATCAGTCTTCGATAGCTGGGCCGTGCCGTCACGTCCCAGCGGTGCTCCTGCCGCAGCAGCCGGCACAGGTGTGTCATCACCAGCGTCATCAAATTCATCACCAGACGACTCGCCATCAACTACCCGAGCCCATGATTTGGGCTTCTTCCTCCTGCCCTCCACCATAGTGGCGTCGTGAGTGGCTCCGTGACTCACACTTGCAGATCTCCACCAACAGATATCTCCACTCGCAGATCTCCACGCAGAACCTCAAATGCAATTCAATGACACATGCCTTCGCAAGAGCGCTGGACACGTTACTGGGACAGAACAGCAGAGAAGAACCTACTCAGGGATATTCCTACTCATGGAGGAAAACTAAGCTCGCAAGCTCGCAGATTGGAGGAGGAGTCGCTGAGCTGAGGGGAGGATGAGTTGCTGTGGAGGAGGAGTTTCTCCTTGGTGATTGAGAAATTCATTGTAAGTTATGCCTTGGTCACACCTATATGAAGGAGCCACCGCGGCGGTGATGTGTGTCTGCTCTGCTTCAGGTACTAACCGTCGCACAATGGCGTCCTCACAGTCGCCGTCATCGCAGCACGTGCTCACCGCACCCGTGACGTTCAATGTCAACGTGGCCAAGCAGACGCCGCTCAAGCAAGGCGACGCAGGTGAATGCTGGATGGGAGAATAGGTGACACAAGAGGAAAGGAATGCGTGTTGTTTGCGTGTGTGGATGCGTTCATTCAGTTGTAGTGTTGATTGGCGATAAGACCCTGACGATGGCCTGCTCCGGCCAGCCCGTGTGGAGCCTCACCGTGGCCGTCCCGCTGGGCGAGCACAGCTACACCTACGCTATCATGGGCTCGACACAAGCAGCTGCCTCATCAGGTACACAGGAGGGCAGGCACGCAGGCAGGCAGGGCGTTCACTGCTGTGCCTGTGGTGCCGTCGTTGCAGGCCCCTCGGCGACAGCAGCTGAGTAGGGGTCGCGCACACTGGTTGTGGACTGCAGGGCGCTGCTGATCGACGACACATTCGACGACCGCTACGCGCTGATGTCCAGCCGTGTGCGGCGGGAGAAAATGACCGAGGAGATTGATAAGGAGGTACGGGACAGGAGATTGAAGCATTGGCCAGTGTGAACGATCCAATGGATGGGGCTCTCTCTCTCTGTGCGTGTGTGTGTGTGTGTGTGCGTTGCCCATCTATCAGCTCATCCATTCCATGTCGAGCGACAGCGAGCAGCCTGCCCCCTTCACCCCCGTCACCCACCCCGTCCCCCTCCCAGACAGCTTCACCGTCTGCCGGCCCCACCATCAGCAGACCGAACTCGAATTCTACGACGGTGCATGTCAGTTGACCAAGCAGCTGGCCACCAGAATCGTGCGTGAGGACATCACTGGTCACACTGCACGAGGTCTGCTCGAGCAGGGGGCCGATGCCGAGGCCATCGTGACGGCAGACAGCGACAAACGGACCCTTGTCGAGCTGGCTGTCGAGCACCTGTGCCCAGAGGCCGCTGAGGGAGTGGTGAGGGAGCTGCTGGATGCAGGGGGGCCGATCGCACCCCCCCGAGGCAGACAAGCCTGGCATCGCACTCTCGAGGGCGATTGGCACGGGCAGCTGGAGCCTCGTCAAGCTCATGATGCAGCCCCAGTACGGCGCCGACGTCACAGGTCAGTGCCTGGTCCATGGGATGGCCAGCGAGGAGACCTACGGGGATGAAGGGGCGGGGGAGGGTCATGAGATACTGGAGGTCATCAAGATGCTTGGCGATCGTGACGAGTCGGTCCTCTGGGAGAAGGACGGCAACGGAGAGCAGCCCATCCACCACTTCTGCCAATTCCCACTGGCCGACACCAGCTGCCAGGAGCAGCTCATCGAGTATTTGATCGACACAGTGGGCGAAGACGTCGTCAACGCACCAGACGACCACGGCCGGCGACCCCTCCAGCACGCCTACCGGTCCCTCATGTTTGACTTCGGCGGGTGGGATGTCAAGCGAGCCACCATCAACAAACTCCTCGACCGTGGGGCAGACGACATCCACGTGATGGAGTCGCTGTTCCGTGAGGTGGCATGGCTGCGTGTGGAGAGCGGGTGGAGTGACGCTGAGTGGGCCGAGAGGAGAGACGAGGAGTTGTTGGGGGTGGACGTGACCGACATGGTGAAGTTGCTGGAGAAGGGAGCGTCAGTGTCGAGGGCCGGCCTGGATGCGCTGGATGTGTTGGGATGGGATGACCAGTACAGCTTGAGCGACATGGAGATCGGCTACGACGCGTGTGATTGCATATACTCTCACATCTGACTTTGAGGGCAGATGTCTGTCGCCCTATCGCTCGTGCCGCATGCGTGAGAGGTTTCTTCGATTCATGTGTACATATCGCAAGATGACAGAGACCAGTGGACCTCCATGACGTTGATGCGTGTCACGTGTGTGGTTCATGTGCATGGATGTCGTCGCCTGTACAGAGACGCCATGTGCTCATTCCATGCCCGTGAGGAACCGTATTGAACTCGAAACGACACGCATACGATTGTTCGACTCAATGCCGTCAAGCTGTCTGACCTGACCCCACCCACCCACTCACATACTCACTCGAAGCACCCACCCTCTGCAGTCCTTCTCTGGCCTATACAACACAGGTACATGCGGGCCTGCGTGCATGCGTGGCCGAACCACTCAGATCCAACGCGCCATGACCCACTGTCGCTTTCAAACACCCCTGACCCATCAGCAACGACAACGACTCCTTCCCCCCTCACACTTCCCCTTACGCCCCCACTCCCCCCACAGAAAAACACAAATGGCTCCCACGCCCCAAAAACAAAACTGCCCTGCCAGCCAGAGAGAGGCGCCCGCCCCAATGGCTGGCTCACTCAAGAGTCGCACTGGCTCATCCCCACTGCCAGTCCAATCCCTCCCACTGGCCCACCCTCTGTGCGAGGCCCCACACGCTCCTGCCCCAGCCTCCGACGGCATTGCCCATCATGGTGATGAACTTGCCGGTGTCGGACTGCTCCATGAAGGCGCCGATGTCCTCCCGTGTCTTGTGGCAGCACAGCTCGATGTTCTCCATCGTGTCGGTGTGCATGTAGACGTCCACCTTGGTGCCCTGGCCCACACGGAAGCTGGCGTCGCTGCTCCTGCCCGTGTCGGACGAGTGCCGCGGCGACACGGTGGTGTGGCGCGTCGTCGTCGTCGTGGTGGACACAGTCAGCGCCGAGTCGAGCGAACTCAACGTCGGCTTGTCGGGCGAAGAGCCCGAGGCAGATGGAGAGGACTCCTGCCCCTCAGTGCCATCTGCTGTCCATGTCGCCGCCGCGCCCTCCCCGTGGTCGTCGCCCTCGGCCCTGTCCTGCTGCCGTTGCGGCTCCTCGGGCGCCCTCACCCACCTGCCGTCCATCGGCCGCTGCTGGCCCTCTGACGTCGCAGGTGGCGCCTCAGGTGGCGCATTATGGACAGGGGCGGGGGCGGGTGTGATGGCTGGGGGGATCTCGACGATGGGCGACAGTGTGCTGACAATGGCAGATGGAGAAAGGGAAGATGTGTGAGAGGGAAAGTGTGCATGTCTGTCTGCGTGTACCCGTTGCCTGTGGGCTCTGCGATGCCGTCGGGTCGGCAGCCTTCGATGCGCAGCATCTCAGCGACCATGTCCGAGACGTACTCCCGGAACTTGGACTCACTGACAACCAGCCATCACCAACACCCAAACAGACACGCGTATTCTATGCAACTTCCCCGCCCGCCAGTGTGCCCATCCACTCACCTGCCCAGCAGCAGTGCACGGACCAGTCGAGTCGGCTTCAGGTACAGGTATCCGCTCACGAAGCCGCTCTTCCTTGGCAGCAGCCGCAGACTCTTGACCCCCACCCCATAGCTCCGCAGCAGCTCCATGACCTGCGCCACCCACGGGATGTCGCCCGCAGACCTGTCGTGGGTGGGCTCTTGCAGGTGGAGCTCGAAGCTCCGCATGGTGCCGATGCAGTCGGGGGCGTCCAAGAGCTTGCTCAGGCTCATCCATCGCGACTGGGCGATGATCTCGTCATCCTGAATGGCAAATAAAGAGAAAGACACAACCAGACAGAAACAAATGTCTGTCCATCCACTTCTGCCCCCTTCCCCCTCTCGGCCTTGTCTCTCCCATGCATCCCTCACTCACGCTCGGCACGCGGATGACCTCCTTGAGTCGCTCCCGGAGCATCAGCAGCCGATGCACGTCGTCTTGTCCCCAGCCGTCCCTCGCGATGCACTTGTCGCGGGCTGGTGCGACAGGCTGAGGGGGGAGGAGGGGGTAGGGGCCGGTAGGGTGAGGGGGAGAGGGAGGGCCAGGGGGAGGGTCGTCTGTGTCGGGCTGGGGGAAGGGCTCCACCTCGAGCCGTAGGCTGGCCTTGTCGCCATTGCCGGTGTGGTGCGTGTCCAGCTCGATCTTGGACAGCGCAAAGCCGTCCTCCTGACAGCACTTGGAGATCCTCTCCAAGGCTTCAGGGTGGTGTGCATAGTGACACCACAGGACGGCTCGCTTCCGGCTTGTGGGGTGGCTGCTGCTGGTCGGGCCGAGGACGGCCTCGACAGAGAGGGGGAGGTCCTGCGCCTTGCACTCGACGTGGTTGACCTCTGGCTGGAGAGGCCGGTGGAACATGCCGTGGCCGAAGAAATGGCCCTCTTCGGGCGCCAGGCCGCCGCCGAGAGTGATGGGCAGGCTCTCCGCTCCCGTGCGCACGCTGTGCACGTGCACCAGCGCTCTATGACTCGCCATCCCTTGCGAGCCTCTCTCTCAACGGTTTCAGGGATGCCCCAACACACATGCAGTCGCAAAGTACTGCTGTTTCTCTCTTGGCATTCAGTCATTGCATTCAGTCGAGGCTACGAGCAGCAGCACACAGCACGCGGCTTTGTTGTCGAGCATTATGTGGCGGAAGGACCGGGAGCCTGTGCTGGTCCTGTTCACCGTGGCAGCTTCTGGAATCAGGCACAGTAAGTATGTGTGCATGGAGTGAGGACGGCAACCAAAGGGCAAGATCTACCCTGCTTCTATCTATCGCGCTGTGTGGTGCCTCCATCTATCCGTCCATCAGTTGCTTTGGTGCTTGGCTCACGGGCTACCCGTATGAACCCGCCATCGGCCATGTGCCCGAGGAGATGGTCTCTGCATATGGTCCTCCCTTCACACAGGGGTACTCATGTGGACTGCACGTACGGCTACGCCATCATCGGCGCAGACGGACTTGTCAAGCGACGCCACCAGCAGCGCCATGGCAGAGTAGCTGGTCGTTGCCAACGACAAATTCGGGAGCCCCCGCACGGCCAAGTGGGTGTCGGTGATGACGTCTAAGTACGACCCCACACAGGTGAAAGGAAGGACACCAACACGTAGTAATGTGGTCGGTTGGTTCATCTGGTGTTACGTGGTCCGGTCATTCAGGGTGCGTCCCCCATTTGAGCTGTGTCCCATCCTCTCCCGGCACCCTACACTTCCGTGCCGAATGCGACCCTCACATTCTCCGACCGAGTGGAGATATGCTCACTCGTTCCTCGGTGGTGGTCCATGCAGCTGGATTTCAATGGCGCGAACCAGCCGACCAAGCAGCTAGTCGCCGGCATTGTGTGTGAGGCCACCAGCGAGGCGGCGGCACGCGACCTCTACAACAAGGCGCCGACGTCAAGCACATTATCATCAGGCCCTACGCCTCGACTGTCCCTGAGCTTGCTGCCGGGTTTCTGGACGGGCCTGAGGCCGCTGGTGTGATGCGCGCGCTCCTGGATGCGGCGGCGCCCATGGAGCCCCGGAGCGGCAGCGTACGTGGCCCCCTCTGCTTGGCCGTGAGGAATGGTAGGTGGGAGTTAATCGATCTCTTGCTCGCAAGGGGAGCATCGGTGGCAGGGATGGAGCTGCTGGCTGAGATGCGGTTCCATCACATCAAGGAGCCTGCTAAGGTGCTGAGGGCAGTCAAGATGCTTGGGCAGCGTGACGAGTCGGTGCTGGTGGAGGAAGCCGAGAGGGACGAGGAGGGAGCCATGCAGCCCATCCACCGGTTCTGCCGTCACCCACTGGCCGACGCCAGCTGCCAGGAGCGGCTCATTGATTACATCGTCGACACGCTGGGCGAAGACGTCGTCAACGCACTAGACAGCAGTGGCCGGCGACCCCTCCAGCACGCCCTGCCACTCAAGGGCCCTCGACAAGGACCCCGACACCGTGCGTCTGCCGTCGAGGGCGCCAGATCTGCCACCCCGGAGCGTCTATATCGCTATGGGGCTGCAACACAGTGCTGTCGGCGGCGGCAGACCTAGGGCCACGTCATGTCGAGACGCTAATCGGGCTGCTGGAGCATGGAGCATCTGTGTCGGCTGCTGACTTCCACGATGACCTGCCCACCGGGCTCCTTGAGGCATATGGGCGACCGAGGTGGTGACACTCATCGGCCACCTGGCCCCCGACCCGCCCCCCCGCATCCCAATCGGTGACCGGCCCATCGGTGACCGAATCAACAACGCCGTCCAGCAATACGTGAGGGAGGGCAATCGGGTCATCTGCCAGCCGGCGGCGGCGCAGCAGCAGGGCCCTTTGCATGGCAACGGTCGTGTGGTGGGCGGTCAGGGCGGCATCGCCCCGCTGTGGTGCTTCGCTGTGGACGGCCGTCGTGTGGGCATCTGTGAGATGCTGTACAGGGCGGTGAGGGCCGAGGCATCCGACTATGGCATCCATGTGACAATCCCACGGCCGCACGGTGCCAATGATGACGAGCGTGTCTTCAATAGCTATGCTGTTGCGAGGGGCGGTGGATGATTGGGGCGACAGGGGGCAGCAGTAGAGTGTCGCCGCTGACCGGCTGTGGGAAAGATGGCTGCGTGCCCGGTGGATGTAGGCATAGATGTAGACATGTGCCGTCTGGTAGGTGTATTTTGCGCCTGCCTTCCTTGGCTCTTTTCTTGTGCATAGCTGCATAGCTTACGTGGCGTGTGTGATGCTGATTGTACAGAAGCTGGTGCTCAAATCAACTCGACTGACTCATTCAATTGCGAAAGCTAACTTATGTCTCGTCCAATCCGCGTGCATTCAGTTCATCTACGCATATCAGATATATGAGCTGGCGATTTGGCGTCCTGCAGAGACATCAAATATAAAATGGAGACAGCGATGTGAAGCCGACACTCAGCCCTCTGCCCCCCGTGCCTCCTGGAATGCCCGCAAGAGCTTCTTTCCACATTGTCGAAAAGAGAAAAGCCATGAGGTTGGCAGAAAGATGGACATATTCGATGGGACACCTTGAGAGCCGAGTCGAGTGACGACAGAATGGGCTTGTCGCGCCCGCAGCACGATGTCGATGGAGAGGAGTCCTGCCCATCAGTGGCACCTCCTGCCGATGTCGTTGCCGCGCCCTCCCCGTGGTCGTCGCTCTCGGCCTTGTCGAGCTGCCGATGCAGCTCATCGGGCGCCCCCACACTCTCCACTAGCTGCGGGCGGCCCTCTGGTGGCGGCGCGTCATGCTCGGTGGTGGCACGGTCAGGGACGGGATGGGACGGCGGCGGGTGTGATGGCCGGCGGAAGGGTCGATCGGCAGCCTTCGATGCGAATGAGCTCCGTGACCATGTCCGCGACGTACTCGCGAAAGCGTGACTCACTGACAGCCAGGGATGACCAACCAACAAACAGACACGCGTGTTCTATGCAACTTCCCCGCCCGCCAGTGTGCCCCTCCACTCACCTGCCCAGCAGCAGTGCACGGACCAGCCTGGTCGGCTTCAGCTGCAGGTAGCCGCTCACGAAGCCGCTGTGCTTGGGCAGCAGCCGGAGGCTCTTGATGCCCACCCCGTAGCTCCGCAGGAGCTCCATCACCTGAGCCAGCCACGGGATGTCCCCGGCTGACCGTTCGTGGGTGGGCTCTCCGATGCCGTCAGATCTGCAGCCTTCGATGCGAATGAGCTCCGCGACCATGTCCGCGACGTACTCGCGGAAGCGTGACTCACTGACAGCCAGGGATGACCAACCAACAAACAGACACGCGTGTTCTATGCAACTTCCCCACCCGCGAGTGTGCCCACCCACTCACCTGCCTAGCAGTAGCGCACGGACCAGCCTGGTCAGCCGGGCTTCAGCTGCAGACCGGCCATAAAGCCGGTCTACCTTGTCAGCAGCCGCTCTCGACAGCAAAAACTACACGCAACGACTGCTCACATACGCAGGGCCAGAAGCGCGTGTGTGTAAGTGCTCACCTGCTTCTTGTGTGTCTTCCGGCGCCGGCTTCTCACTCCTTTCCGCCCGCAATAGCCTAATGCAACATAAGCAGAAGTCCACCAGCAGCCTGACAGATACAATGAATGCACAGGTGGGAAGGATAGCCTGCACTGCATGCAGTGCCCAAGGGGCTGCAGGGAGGGTGATGTCAGACCTGGTCATGAGTGTCTTCGGTTTTGGTCTTCTTTCTCTTGGGCGACAGGCACGAGAGATCGTCAGCACGCAGCGGAGCTCCTGAGACAACAGAGACCAAGCAATGGAGGCAGGTGAAGAGAGCCTCTCCGTTTCTCTTTTTGTCAGCTTTACTACCGAGAGTGGCCCTGCACAACAGCTCGAGGAAGGCTGCAGACGGCAGCTGCGGTTCGTTGAGCTGGCAGGCTCCTCCCACGCACACATCGATCTGCACACACACGCACCTCACCGAGAGAGCATGCCACTGTGTTCAAGCATTGGTGTGTGGTGACTGACCCGGCTGCACCCATCTCTGCGGCAGATCTTCATGACGCCATTCATAGTATCCAAGTGAAGCCATTCATTGTTCGCACCGCTCTGCTCCGTCGATGTAGTCAAGTCCTTCCTCGACTTAGCTGCGTCAGGGGCAAAAGGCATGCATATGTCAAGGATGGCTGAGCGTGTGTACCTTCCATCCACATGATGATGGACCCCATCGCTGCATCGCGCTGTTGCACGTAGGGAGCGTGGTCCTCCCGCTTCCTCGAGGAACTCATAGGCGGCTGCGCTTCTGAGACGACACAGACACAAAGCAATGGAGGCAGGTCAAGAGAGCCTCTCCGTTTCTCCTTTTTGTCAGCTTTTTGAAAGGCAGCAGAAGGCTGCAGACGGCAGCTGCGCTTCAAGAGGAGCAGCAGCAGCAACATCGGCCGGGTTGCCATTGCTGGGTCCTCCAGGATCGGCGACAGTGTGCTGACAATAATGGGAAAGCGAGGGGAGAAGGGTGTGTGAAGTTGTACCTGTCAGTGGAAGCGTGTGTCTGCCTGCCTGCCTGCCTGCCTGCGTATACCCATTGCTGTCGCATCGGCAACCCTCGATCCGCACGATCTCGGCCGTCATGTCCGCCACGTATTCGCGGAACTTGGTCTCACTGCAGGCCACGCACAACACACACACACACAGAGAGAGATAGAGAGAGAGAGAGAGAGAGAGACCAGGTCTCCATGAATCCATCCGTCCCCTCGCTGTCCACCCACCCACCTCCCGAGAAGCAGCGCCCGAACGAGCCCCGTCGGCTTGAGATGCAGGTAGCCGGCCATGAACCCCGTGCTCATGGGGGCCAGCCAGCCGCATGCCCTTCACCGCCACTCCATACAGGCGAAGCAGCTCCATCAGCTGCAGCTGCGCCAGCCACGGCACGCTGCCCCCCCCGTCTGTCGTGGACGGGCTCCTCGACGCGGATCTCGAGGATCCGCATCGTCCCGCTCGAGATCCGCGTCGTCCCGATGGTGTCGGGGGCATCGAGCAGCTTGTGGATGCTCATCCACCGCGACTGGGCAATGAGCTCCTCATCCTGATGTATACAAACACACACACATCGACAGACAGACATCAACAGACAGAGAAACAGACAAACGAATGTGCGCAGCCCTCCCTCTCTTGCCGATCCCTAGCTCACTCACCGCAGGCACGACCTTCCTCAGCCGCTCCCTCAGTATCAGCAGCCGATGCACGTCCTCTTGCGGCCAGTTGTCCCGTGCGATGCACTTGTCCGCCTCTGGCGCGGCGAGTCGGAAGGGCAGCAGTACAATACGCTCTCTCTTCTTATCGTTCCTGCGTGCTACCGAGAGGAACTCACTTCTCCTTCTGGTCATGTAGGGGTGGGGAGCAGCATCGTCGACGGAAGGAGAGTCGGCCAATTGCCGGTGTGGCGTCTCTGCAGGTCGACCTTGTTGATGCTGTAGCCGTCCAGCTGACAGCATCTGCTCATGCGCTCCAGGGCATCGGGGTGGTGGGCGTACTCGAGCCAGATGGTGGCTCGCTTGCGGTGGCCAATGCCGACCGAGCTGAGGGGGATGATGGCCTCCACAAACAGCCGGAGGTCTTGGGCTCGGCACTCGACATGGTTGAGCTCGGGCTGTAGCGGCCGCTGGAAGAGGTCGTGGCCGAAGAAATGCCCCTCTTCGGGTGGACATGGGCATCGGCTGCAATGACAAGCGCAGGGTTGATGCAAATCAGGGCTCGCAGCAGCAAGGAGATGAGGCAATCCCAGCGGAAAAGCGACAAAGCGATAAGGAAGTGACGAAAAATGAGAAAAATCCACGTCTCCCCTGAGCTCGCGCAATTCTCGACGCTCGAAAATAATCTGCGAGCTGAAGAAATGAAGGCTGCACGAAGGGCAGGATGCGCTGACCATGGATGAATGTGAGGCTTTCCCTTTTGCCGTGTCATAACCACAGCCGCCATGTACAAGGTGCGCCAATGGATGACTCACACCCAGGCCGATGCTCACTGCTGGCCCATGCTGACTCGCTGCATCTCTCTGCGTTCTTCGTTCAGAGCTACACTGCCGTTGGCGGCGAGGCGGCACCCGCCGATGCTGGCCACCAGATTGACTACAGCATCATGCACGCCTATCAGCAGCCCAAGAGGGAGGAGAAGCAGTTGCGCGTCAACCTCTCCATCAAGGGCACGCCAAACCACCCCGTCATCGAGATCACCGGTACTAACGCAGCAGCAGCATTGAGCATTCGAGTGTGTATGGTTGATGAATCAGGTGCTGACCACATCGGTCTGCTGGAGCGTGTGGCGGAGTGTTTCAAAAAGTACAAGTACAGCGTCCGGACGGCACGGCTCGAGACGCGCGGCCCTGCGACGACGCGTGTGGTCAAGGACACGTTCGAGCTCGACAAGGTGCAGGACGATGCCGACGCCGCCTTGTTGGAGGAGCTCAGGCGAGACCTCGAGCAGGCGGCATTCGGGCCGCAGAAAGGGGTGGCGCTGCATGAGTACAAGTACCAGCAGGACCTCTTCCAGCCCGGTCAGATGATGGCGGGGGAAGCAGGCTGGCGTGCGCCGTTGATGCGTGCATGTGTCGACGGGTCTGTGGTTGGTGTGTGCGTGCAGCTAAGCGTCAGGTGGAGGTTGAGATACAGGGGCGAGCTGGCTCCCACAGCCCCGGCCTGCTCTACCAAATCGCACATACCGTGTTTCAGGTCAGTAAAGGACATGTAAATGAGTCGCATGGGCAAGTGGACACCCGGATGCGTGTGTTGTGTTGTGTCGTGTTGTGTTGTGCAGCATGGCTTTAACATAGTGCGTGCGACCATTGTGACCCATGCCGACGGGAGGATCACCAACCACTTCAGGCTGCAGGAGACCTACCTCTTCCAAAAGCTGCTCAAGCTCAGGTGCGTGGCCAGTCAAGCTCAACGACGCCCCCACTCACGCACAAGTCACGGTCTGTGTGTGCGTGCCATCCATCAGTGACATGCCTGAGGAGGACTATCTGAATCAGCTCAAGGCCGCCCTGGAGGAGCTGCACCTCAACCCCTCCCCTCTCCCAAGCCCAGCTGGCAGCCCACCGGGGCCATCGTCACCCACTGCACGGCAGGCCGGACCAGCCCAGACGCTCTCACCCCCCAACACGGACAACACGGGCAAGGACCACCCCCTCGCCGACTCGCCCGACCGACAATCGGGCCGAGGCAGTGGCAGCGTCTTCTCTCTCTCACCCGCCCTGTCTGTGCCCCCACTGGAGGGTGCCGCTGGCCGGCTGCCCTCCCTGCACTCGCCCCGTCTCCACCCTCCCGTCGCCATTAGTCGTCGGAGGTCGCTGTCATACGATCAACAGGACGTCGATCACGCCGGCTGTGTCGACCACGCCGCTGCCCACGCTGAGACGGCCAGTGACAGCGGCATGGTGCACACCGACACGACTGTGGACAGGGAGAGGGATGGGCGTGTGGAGATCATTCTGACCACCACCGAGATGCACAGCCGGGAGCAGCCATCTGGCGGAGAGGCGGTGTTCCGCGGGCTGAGGGAGCCCGATGCGCACGTGACGTCCTTTGCCGTCATTCCCGAGGAGCAGGAGATGCAGGGTGACCTCCGCCGGTCCACCAGTGCCCAGTCACACCAGGAGGACCTTACCGTCACCCCCACCTCTACGCCCATCCCGCCCCCTCCGCCGTCCCCGTCGCCCGTCTCTGGCCCGCTGGACTGCGACCGGGCGGCCTCGTCTTTCCGCGTGGCCGTGTACCCCACTAACGCGTGGGAGCGCATCAGGCAGTTCATCTCCAAGAAAAGCGGCAGGCGATCCAGCAGCACCAGCAGCCACCATCATCACCACCACAACCACCAGCGGCACAGACACCACTCACACACCGCGGAGGACGCGCACAGCGAGCCTCCCGGCGTGGGCAGCGCCCCCGTCCCATATGCGGCCCAGAGCGTCGGCAGCCTCCCCGCGTTTCCCATTCGTCTGCAGCACGATCGGGCGGCTTTTGCCAGCAAGAGGCCGTTGTCGCTGGATTCCCATCAGGCGGGGGGGCCCATCGCTGAGGCGTTTGAGGGGCTGGGGCCGTCAGCGGGCTACTTTGTGCAGGGCAGGGGGAAACGGGTATGATGGGGTGATGGGAGAGAGAGGGAGGGATGGAGGAAGGGCCAGGGAGGGATATCGCATATCTATCTTGACGTATCGCACCCGAGCGGGCGTGTGCGCCTGCTCGCATCACCTTGTTTGTCTTGTTTGTCAGCGTGCTTTTTGGGGGACTGGGTTTCTGGTTTCTGCCATGTGTGCAGCCGCTCTCCTCCTGCTTAGCTGCCCCCCTGTCTTCCTGCATGAGGTGGGGAGGTGGCCATCGCGAGTGGGTGGGGCGGCCATGATATGCCTGCATATTGTATAACAGCGCGACACCTTTTTGTCGACCGATCTGATGATCAGTGGTCATGGGTCTCACTGCCTGTCTGTCTGTCTGTCTGTCTACGTGTGTATGTCTGTGGCCGTAGCAGGTACATCCATACTGTCATGTCTGTGATGTGATGCGTGTCTGCATGCACCAGCACTGCATCCTTTTTCGCCTCCAGCAGTGCGTGTGTGCCAGTTTTCCCGAAGGGGGATGGGAGGGGACGTGGCTGACCTGATCTGTCCGCCCGTCCGTCGGTCGATCAGGGATATACGGTGCTGTCCATGCCATACCATACCATGCTATCTATCTCTCTCTTGTTTGTCGTTTCCCCTTCAGCCTTCTTAATTGCACAAGCCGGATGGACGGGTGAATGGATGGATGGATGTATGGGAGCAATGGGATGGACCGGGCCAGGCATTGCATGCACTGATTGCATTGCATCAGCGTGGCTGGCTGGCTGGGCTGGGCTGGCATGGCACTGTCCAGCCAGCCTCGTCAGGAGAATGAATACCCCTTACCGCCTCTCACTCACCGTCTGTCTGTCTGCCTATCTGCCTACATCGATGTTTGGGTGGGTGATGGGTGCTTGGGAGAGGTGAATGGCATTGCATTGCATCTCGTATTATGACCATTTTTTGCCGCCCGATCTATGTGAAGCGGAGAGAGCCTGGTAGGTAGAGAGTTTGTAGAGTGCAAGGTTGGTGTACGTCTTGGCTGGTGGGTGACTCTGTTTCCGTCTCGGCAGTCTGTGGCGAGTGCGCACTCAGGCGTGCACGGCACAGCCTGACGGGTCGGAGGCGGCACCGCCCATCAGACAGGACAAGCCAGAGAGACAGAGAGAGGGAGGCTTTCCGTCGCGTGTTGTGTCCTTGGTTAGTCTGTGTCGTGGTGGTTGTGATCTGGAGCCTCAATGCGTCGTGTCACAGGGGCGTAACCAATGTGACGCACAGCATTGGGGCGGGGGAGCGTAACCACCTGACACAGGCAGCATCCCGCCCGGGGATGTGGTGTGTGATGTGGTGTGTGATCTCGGTCGATCGTGAGTGAGTTTTTTTGCTGCTGGTGCTGTGTGTGTCCACGTGTGTGTCTTTCTCTGGTGAGATTGTGGTGGAGGTTTCAAGCAAGTGTGGACGGATGGATGGATGGATGGCCAGGTATCTGCCTGTGTGGGGTTGTGGGGAGGGACGGCGAAAGAGACACACCACCGGAGACCTGTCGAGTCGAGTGATGTATTGGTCAATCGGCTGGTTGGCTGGCTGATGGATTTATTCACGGCTGCTGTTGTCCCAACCGCCCCACCACCACCACCACCACATGAACACGCACGGACATATATATGCGGTCGTCTTATCCACATCCACCGATATTTGCACAGCAGAAGTATGCAGAGAGCGATATGTACCTATCCATCGGCAAGTTGGACACTCAGCCACAAACACACGCAGGCTAAACCTACACAGCACCGGCCCCAGCCCCACCCACCCAGCCACCGACCTTGTTGCATCCTTGTATCGTGTGCACGTGTTGAAAAACATTGCTCTACGTTCGTCTGTCTGTCTGCACAGAAGAGCCAGCCAGAGCATCAGACAGACCGAGAGATATGTAGCACCTAGACAGGGTAGGCATGACACCTAGATAAGATAAAATGGGGCTGACGCACCCGCAGCACACGCACCACACACCACATCACACTATCCAGCCACACCTTTTCTCGCCCACTCGCCACACTCTCACACACGATGTCTATCTCTCTCCGTCCGTCGTCAGCAAAAAAACGACTTTCCTCTCCTCCCCCTCGTGTGTCTACCCCGAAACATTGCCCTTTCACATAAGGAAAGCTCTCACAGCCGCCCTTCAAGCCATGTCATGTCATCTCTGCTCACAAATACGCCTCCACTCCGGCTGGCTGGCTGGCTGATGGAATGTCTTGCGGAGGGCGGGACAGCCAGCGATCGGCGCACACAGATGGACGAAAATGAAACGAATCAGAAAGGAAAGACCCCATCCATCCATCCATCCGCAGGCACACACAGGGACAAAATGATAGCACCACAGAAAGGTAACTAGATAGATAGATAGGTAGAGGAGAGAAGAGGTAGGGAGGGAGGAAGGAAAAAGACGAGTGTGTGTGGAAATGGGTGGTGGAAATGGGTGGGTGCGCAAGTGATGGAACGGAAAAAGCCACCCACCGGTGCCATGTATATGTATCATCAGCAGTAGCAGCATCAGCATCAGCAATAGAGGCGAGACGTGAGCTCCAAAACCTCCCCCTCCCCACCATCCAGCCATCCAGCCACCCACTCACCCAGCCCGCCCTGTAAGTATAGCCATGTCTCCCTGCCATTGCAGGCTATCCCTCGACCTCACCCACACCCTCTCACGCCCCGCCACAGCCCGCCACACATCGTATTCAAAAACAAACACTTGACGTCAAACAACACAACACAGCACAGCACAGCACAGGCGAGTGTGGTCACACAGCAGCAGCGGGGAGCAGGGGTGTGGATGGGGCGGTGGATGCCTGGCTTGTGTTGCTGCTTGTGGTGTGTGTGTTGTTGCTGAAGTAGAATGTGGTCCGCCGTTTGAATGCGATGTGTATGTTGAGTGGGATCATGGTGATGGGGAACATGGCCTTGACTCGGTCGGGGCCCGCCAGCGACACCTCAAACCGCTGAAACAACTCGCACAGGATCACCTGGACACACCACACACACACACACACACACACATGCCAGGGGAACGGAGAGAATGGGTGGCCATGTGGGGGCCTTTTCATGTGCGCGCGTCGGCGTACCATCGACTCTTGCAGCGCGAACTGACACATACAGACATACACAACACACAAACGGGCCACCGAGAATATGTCACACCATCCAGAATACCGCCTCTATGTGAGTGTGTGTCCGCCGCTATGCCCACCTTCTGGCCGATGCAGTTCCTGGGCCCGGCAGCGAAGGGCACGTAGGCATACGGGTGGTTGAATGGCGTGGCCGCCTGGTACCGCGGCGCCCTCCCGCCGGCCGTCCGCATCTTGTCGGTGAGTGTGGCGTGGTGTGCCGTGACCCCCGAGTCCTGTGGGTTGGCGTCGGGGCCCTCGTCGGGCACCTCCTCCAGCCACCGCTCAGGCATGAAGGCCTCGGGGTCCTCCCAGTAACGCTCGTCGTGGTGGAGGAAGTAGGTCCCCAGCCACACAGCAGTGCCTGTCGACAGAGAGAGAGGAGAAGTGTCTGGTTGTGTACCTGCACACAGGTGTCTGGTTGTGTACCTGGTGGGATGGTGTGTCCGTCGACGTGGATCTTCTTGTGGCTGAGCCGCTCCATGTAGGCAATCAACGGACGCAACCTGATTCGTCGATGCGGGCAGACAGACAGACAGACAGACAGTGGATGAATGGACGGTTGCCCTGTTGGTCGTCTCACCTCCCACCCTGCCCTCCCTTCTCCCCTGGTGTCTGGTGTACCTGAGTGTCTCCTTGATGACGGCCCTGCAGTACTCGAGTCTCATGTAGTCCTCCGGAGCGATCGGCTCGCCGCCAAACATCTCGTCGATCTCACGATGCAACTTGGCCTGACACACAACCAACACAACACAACACAATAACACACCAGGGATGCATCCATCGATCCATCCACCGAGCAACACAGTGCGGCCACTGATTGCATCGCCTCGCCTTGCACCTGTTTGTCTGGGTATTTGGCGAGGTGGTAGAGTGCCCAGCAGAGCATGTTGGAAGTGGTGGCGTGCCCGGCGCCCAAAAAAGTTAAGGCCTCCAGCAGCACCTGGTGGTCGCTGATGCCGTCCGTCGACACCAGCATTTCCACCAGATTGCCACCCGCTTCCACCTTGCCGCTGCCCTGCTCCGCCTCCTGCTGCTGCAGCCGCCGCTTGGTGTCGCGGATGGCCGCCTTGACGCGCTGAGCGATCCGCCACACACGCAGGTGCAGACCCAGGGCGGAGGGGAGGGGCAGCAGGTCCCACGGCCAACCTGCAGCAAGAACACACAGACAAGGTGTGTGGTGGTGGTGGTGGGGGTGGGGTGGGGGTGGGGGTGGCTGACCGAGTATGAGTCTGCCGATGAAGTATGTGTTTGAGAAGCGCGTGGAGATCTCCCAGGCCTCCATCATCCAAGGGCCGTCAAACTTGCCCGGGAACACACAATCCATCATGATCTGAAGCGCCAAATCACTGCCACACACACAGGACACACACACATACACACAGATATACACACAGTCAGACCCTGCTGTGTGTGGCCACCGCGGCGCGATTGTGGGGTCACTGACTGACTTGAATGTGTCTCTGCATCTGATGGTGCGGTTGTCAGTGTTTTGGTCGATCTCTTGGTCGATCTGTGCGACGACGGTCTTGACGCGGCGGACCATGTGTGGCAGCGCCTGTTTTAGGGCCTTGAAGTGGAACAGCGGGGTCAGCAGCTTCCTCTGACGGTGCCACTGCGCACCCTTGGCGTTGAGCAAACTGACCACCATAAGACCACACACAAACACACAAAACCAGAGAAAGGGACAACAAGGCATTTGATGGCGGCTGTGATTCCGTCGTCCCCCCCCATGGCTTGTGTTGGATTGGATGGCATACATACCCATCGCCGATGTAGACCTCTGTGGCATGGACGGGGTATTTGGGGAAGGCCTTGAGGTCGTTGAGCACCGTGGCGAACACGTCGGGGTCGTTGATCAGCACGATCCGACGACCGTCGAAGAACGGACCGCAGTCAACCAACTGACACACACACACACACACACACGATGGGCAATCAACACCCACAGACAGACACAGACGCGTGACATGAGAACCCTGCCCATCCCTCCCCTCCCCTGCCCTGATTGTGTGTGTCGACTGTGCCATGTCTGTCGACTGACTGACCTTTCTGAACTGTCCGGGTTTGTCTTTGTCCCGGATGGACTCGAGGAAGTCCTCGAACTTGCCCGTCGGGTCCTTGGCCGTCCACACGGGCATCGACTCTTCACTCGCAGGCAGCTCGCGGTACTTGGACGAGTTCCACACATAACGACACACGAAGTACGATAGGCGGCAGGCCGAGTACCCCACCATCAGGCCGCCCAGGGCCGCCCCGCCCTTGAGCAGCAGCGACGCCACATCGAGCCCGGCTGACAGGGAGGGGGAGGGGCCGGGGCTGCTGGGCGAAGGGCTGCTCATTCTGAGGCTGCAGAAGGGTGGCGGGACGGAAGGGAGCCGGCAGCACAGCAGACAAACACTTACTTATGCGGTGCGGTGGGTGGCGGAAAGAGGACCTTCACAAAGACAAGGGCCAGGTGGACAAAACCCGCTCGGCAGCCGAGAGCCTCAGTCCCTGGCGCCCTCTGGACTGTGGAGCATCTCTGTGGTGCAGTGTACGGAATTCGATGCGATGGAGAGGCGGGAGGGAAGGCGAAGCGGGAGGGATGCCGTTAGACGCAATTTCTCAAGATCATGATTCAAGGCCTGCTGACACAACACTGGCAGCACTGTAGAGGGCCCTTCGCGTGCTGGAGTCGGCAAAGCTGCCACCAACGGCAATTCTCGACGATCGGGGGGGTCTGCGAGCTAAGCCGAAAGAGGTGAAGGAGAGGACTGAAATAAGGGGCTTGGGCTGCTTCCCGTTGCGTGTATCAACTTCGTCCGGTTGAGTCATCATGACGACCATCGTGATAGGTCAGCCGGGCCAGCAACAACAGCGGCCCATCTACCAGCAGCAACCGCAGCCCGTCTACCAACAACAGATTCAGCCGCAGCCCATGTACCAGCAGCAGCAACCAGGTGAGGCCACCCTCACCCACCCTCGGAGCAATCAAGACAGGAGAGAGAGAAACTTGAACGCACTGTGGGGGGCAATGGAATTTTTTGTTTGCGTCAGGGACGACGACCACGACGTATATCATCACGCAGCCTCAGCCCCAGCAGTACGGTCAGCCCCAGCCTCAGATGTTTGTCCAGCCCCAGCCACAAGTAACACTCGACCGGGGAACAGAGCGAGGAGGGAGGGGGAGACACTCATTGCCATATTTCTCGTCTGTATCTGGGTGTTCATCTTCAGGTTCAGCCGTATCAGCAGCCGCAGGTTCAGCAGCCGCAGGTCATGTATCAGCAGCCACAGCCACAAGTTGTGCAGCCGCAGACACAGACACCTGGGCAGGAGAGCCCATCACAGCCGTAAGACGATTTTCCTTTCACCTGCGTCTCTTCATGTGCGATGCTCTTTGATGCCGTGGATGCAGGTACAAGGCGAACATCATCACTGACGACCAGGGGGGCCGCACGGACGAGCAGAAGCGCAAGGAACAGTGCTGCGCCTGCTGTGGTGAGTAGTGCCCGAAGAGACGCCGCAGGGGGGCCACATGCATGAAATGCATCACATCAGGATGTCTCTGAGCGTGTGTCAGGCGTGGGTGCGTTGTTGGGAGGGTTGGCGTGCTGCGCGTGCCTGTTGGCCTTGTTCGGTGAGGATGCAGCCAATGCGGTGAGTGGAGCCGCCGATGCCGTCGTCGATGCTGCCACCTGAGAAGAACTGCACGGTGTATATGCCAATGGGGGTGGGGATCTCAGGATTCATTAGCACGGTTGCTGACGGCTGTAGCCGTGTGAGTGCGAGCGTGTGTGTATGTGTGCATGTATGTGTGTGTTGGTGGCTGGCTGGGAGCAGGCAGTGTCTGGATGGTCATCTGTTGAGCATGTTTTCTTATTGACTTTCTGCCAGATGGACACAAACATAAAAGCTCATGAATCAAGTTTCTGCTGCAGAAGGCACAGTGTCTCTCTGTCTGCTTGGTATGCTTCATCAAGACATGTACTTCTACGTGTCCCCTTTCACCACTGCCCACGACGTGAACCCTCCCCTGCATTCACAACAAATGCAATGCTTCTCTGGCAATTTCAGCATGTGGCACTGCATGCACTTGAGGCAGATCGATGTGTGCCCACACGGAACAAAGCGGACGTTACACTGACGCTCCTGACACACACCACACCTCGTTGCCATTTTCCTCTCCTCCTCGACGTGCCTCGTTTCGGCCTCCCTCTGATGTGATTTCAGCCGCTCCTCCGCCTCGACAAGACGAGCCTCGAGATCTGTGCGGGCCTCTTTCTCCTTCTTCAGTTCCGCCGCTGCCCCTCGGAGCATTTCCTGCATGCTGACAACAGGTGAGGGGAGAAGGATGAAACCACATCTTGTCGCTGGCCCATCAAAGGCAAGATGTGAATGTACCGGTTCTTGATGTCGCATGTTGCCGTCTCTTGAGCCTTGGTGTCTGCCAACTCCTTCTGCAGCGATGATATCTGTCGCTGCAGTGAGGCCACCTGGTTGCTCATCATCCTGCACGTCATAGGTGAGACACACTATGGTATTCGGCCTCGGCCTGCCCTCGTCAGAGATACTGTCTCCTTACCCGATGACGAATGCCTCATCGGGTGGCCCTGCCGTGATCCCTGCCTCATTGCAACTGCAGGCAGCCACAGCTGCGCCCGTGGAGAGAGATGGCAAGTCCACCAGGCCGTCCAGTGGCAGATCCTCATTTGGCATAGCCTGCGGTCGAAGCGGGAGAGGTGGGGCAAAGGGCGCTGGGGCATGTAGCGGCCATCTTCGCCCGTCAAAGCCGTCGATGTGTGGCCCTTGAGGGGAGAGTAGACAAGGATCATCATCGACCGCCGAATCCTCTGCATCGAGATCACCACCTGTCTCGGGAAGGCGCCTGTCATGTGCAGCTTCAGCTGAACAAGGTGAGTCCGAGTGGGCTGCGGCGCTTGGGCAGGCAGGCGGTTCTGATGACGACTGAGAGGCAGGCTGTGCTTCCTGATTCACGGCAGCCCTGTGTCTCGGCCTTTTCTCCTTCTTGTTGGTTTTTTTGTCTGGCTTCTCATCCTCCAGCTCCTGCAGGAGCTTTGCCTGTTTCTCGAGCGCGACTTTGTCCAGAATCGGCTCAACCGTTTCCAGCAACTTAATAGCCATCGACGTCGGAGCCTTGTTGCCTTGTTGCCGTCTGGCATTCTGTGTTTTCGGACTTGAGAGTATCGCCTGAGCCACGAGAGGCTCCTTTGATGGTGATGTTACCCGCAATTCCTCCTCGGAACGAACCAGGTAAGCGAGAAACAGAAAAATCGAGCTGATGGAATGAGAACATAAACGAGATGATCAGTTAAAAGAACAGTGTGTCGTGCACATACCCGACGTAGGCCAGCTCCTGCTGGTACAATCCGAATGGACCTCTACGAGCCTTTCCGCAAGCTTTGCAAGTCTCTTACTCTCTTGGCGCAGCAACTCGCAGCAGGTAAGTGAGGGCATCTCTAATGGAAATGTCAAGAGGACACCAAAGGGGGGCTTCTTCTGTTGATCCACCCTTTGAAGTGTTACGACGCTTATAAGCGCTCGAACAATCGTCATGACAAGCTGCCTTGGTGTCTCCTTGCAATCAGCCAGACCGTCAAGAAGGGAATCAAGAAGGCCGACGCGTTTTAAGACCCTCAAATCAGCTTCACGCGCATTGTCTGCTTCAGAGATCCCGGCAGTGTCTAGAGGCGAGTGGGCTGTTTGGAGGACTTCGCTCAGGACGTACAACATGTTGGTATACACTGCCGCCTCGGGCTGATGGACACATTTCACTTGATAATGTACACATTCATGTGGTGGCTTTCGCAATGCATTGGAACTCCTTCTATCTACCTTTGACAGGCCCCTTGCGACCTGCTTGAGCGCACTTGTGTCCTGGAATAAGAGCTGATGTACTCTTTTTGCGAAAGCTGAGCTGGCCTTGAAGAAGATCTCAAAGAAGAAAGCCAGATGCACTACGTCCGGCTTCTGAGACGCCATAAAGACCGACTCTGCGGACGGCAGCTCCTCTTCCACAGCCACAAAAGCCTCTTGAGCTTGCCTCTGCCAATCACTTTCTCCCAAGGTACGCCGAAAGTCTTCAATCTTCCGAAAGACCGCGTCCATGAACATGCTGACGAGCGCCGTATACGGCACGCTGAAGCCGCCGCCGCCGCCGCCCGGAGACTGCCGAAAGAAATCGCGCTTATCGTCGACGAGAAGTCTAGGGGTAGGCGCGATGGACTCGAACAAAGACTGTGACACACGAGACATACATTTCCATGGAAGGTGGACACGGTGTCTCTTCACCAAATGCTCTCACCTGGACGGTTGGGGCAGTTTGGACAGCCGCCGCTAGAATCAGCAGTGGCGGGCCAATTGTTGTGAGGACTGAGGCGTTGATCAGTTGATGCCTCACTGCAGCGACCATCTGCTCATTTAACTCTGGGAGCGGCCTCATGGCGAACAGATATCCAGAGGGCCCAGGCTCAACAAGCAGAAACGCGATGATAGTGTAGAGGTTTAAACTCTGCGGGTGCTCCAGTAACAGGCTGGAGAAATGCTCAAACCACTCCTGCCTTTTCGACGGCGTCTTGAGATATGGATTTATACGGCTCGGCTGAGGTTGTGGGAGGTCAAAGAGATTCATGTGTCTGGCAAGGAGATGAATTGCGTGCTCCTGGACGTCTTTGTTGGGGTAATGGGTCATCTCGTACATCTAGGACATGCACAAAACAGTATGCATGCATATGTTCAGACATTGTTTATCCTGCAGGCGTACTTTTTCAAGCCCGGTCGCTAACAGGGCTGGATCACAGATGGCACCGTGAAATAACGTCTTCTCTATATTCTCGGCCTCGGCCAGGTACGGCGCCAGACGATCATGTGTCTCATCGGAAACAAATGAAGAGCTAGCAGGCTGCTGTTCTGAAACAGAGCCTGCTGCGGTCATCTGTTCCTGGGTCACACGGAGAAAGTCGTTCACCGCAGGAGTCAGCTCTTGTTTGGTCTTCAATAAAATTTCGAAGCCTGGCGATGCAGCAATAGTCGTCAAAGCCTCAGGACAAAATTCTCTGAGGACAGACAGCATTACGACTGCCATCTTCGCTGAGCTGTCCCATAGTTGTGTCTTCTTCAATGCAGGCCGTACAAGGCTGTGTTCTACGAGGAATGTAGTCAGCGCGCCGATCCAAGTGGCCTCCATGAGATGCCCACATAAGGGGGATGGAATGATGATGACAGCTTCTTTCTCCTTCTGCACTAGCGCCACCACACACCCGAGCAAGAACCGCATACACTTGTGCCGCAAAAAGACGGATCCGTCTGTTTGGATGATTGCCCGCTTCATCCATCCAACGATGCCGTGCTGGTCCTGAAAGTGCTGTTCAAACGGTGGGTGGACCGTTTTCAGTGCCATGCAGAAGGGCTTTGTCAGGTCCCCGCCAAAATTGAACTCAGGAATCTCCCGACCGCAGGCCAGAGCGTCAGTCAACAAAGTGACCACGGCAGACCGGACCAACAGAGGGCTGACACCTGTGATTGATTGCAGCGCGTCATCCTCGGCTTGGAGAAGCTCAGGAAGGACACTGCAGTCGCGGGCCTTGATGAGCCTCTCACACACGCTACCGAGAAAGGTTGAGCTTGGAGGATGGCTGTTGCCGCAGCCCTTGACCTCACGATCCAGATTGCGACAGATTGATGTGTAGGCCGCGAGAAGGAAAAGTGCAGATAGCTGAATCGCTGGACATTTGACGGAGAGCAGCTCCACCAGCACGTCGGGCGAGACATTGTTGTACGTCCTGTGAAATACATCGGATAGGATAGCCATGTTGTCCTCACCACCGCACTCAGCTGTCAATTGTGCGCCTTCGTAAGCCGCTTTCGCCGAGCGGAGGATAGTCGGGAGCTTGACATTGACGTGCTCCGAGAGCTCAGACGGCTCAATTGGAAGGCGTTTCTTTCCTTGAATGCCCAATGCCAGCAAAGAAAGACCGCTCATAACGTCTGAAACCTACCACAGAGGCCCAGCGATGGCAAGCTATCATGTTCAGCCCTCATCACACGTCTCTCTGCACGTACCGCAAAGAATAGAGGCTTGACTTGGGACTTGACGACGCTTTGCCTCTGTATGTGCACGACAATGTTCGCCGCCTGGCGAATGAAAGGATGGAGAGTTTGGTCATAGGCCGTTCCGGCAAGTGCAAGCAGCACGTCCGGGTCAATATCGGCGTGCTCCAGCAAATCGATGGCGGCCACGGAGATCCTGCGCCGAGAACAGCAAAGAGAATCGTGAAATGTGACCGTCGTCATCTGCTGTCTCGCTGCCCGACCTGAGTGTCTTGTCGTTTCTTGGAATCCTTTGATGCATGGACCACATGCGATGGCCCCATTCCTTTTTCGTCACCCCGATAGTGTCGATGAAAACTTCAGCCACAGGTTGCTCCTTCATGCAGCATTCGTGGATCAGAAAAAGGGGCTCTTCCATCAGGTTGGGGTGGTCGCCACCGATGAATGACCACAGTGCCTGGTGAGTCAGTCACGTGTATTGCAAAACTCATCCAATCCACGTGGCTCTTTCTTTCCTCCCATGATCCACGTACAGTACTGTACCTTGAGCGTCTCTCTGTCGCCAACAATCTCCACCCACCTCCATGTTCCCTTCTTTGTCTTCTCAAGTGCATTCACGCAAAACCCTCCGCAGCAGCCTCTCGTCGCGCCGCTCCTCTGCTAAGTAGCCGCGGATGACTCGTGTGGCTTCCTCCGGTCGTTTCATTCGTCTTCGAAGGTCAACGTGCGAGTTTGCAATGGGGCAGCTTCAAAAAACGGTTCGCGAGCTCGGGGGGGCCTGCGAGCTTGACAGTGTAAGACGGGGGCACTGTAGAGGCAGAACGGGTTGCACCCCTATGGCAGCGAACCATTCGGTCTCTCTCGTTCCTCCTCTGCCGCTCCCTCTGTCCTCACTCGCCGCGAGAGTCAGGAAAGGACCCGAAGACAAAAAGAGGGAGGCAACGGAGGCCGAGAGGCTCCCAGAGGTACGTAGGAGCACATACTCCGTCGACCACATGCCTCTCAGTCGGCTCGTGACAAGCGTGAGAGCCTCACTTCATGATGTGGGCTTCACACACAATGCGTGCATGGTTTTCCTTTTCTGTCCCTCAGGTGGAGTTTGACAGCGAGAATTGCTATACTGTGTGGGCCGCTGGTCGTCCAGGTGACTACTCACGACTACAACTGCGCGAGTACTTCCAGCAGTACGGCGAGTTGGAAGGTATCGGGGTTCGGTTCCCTCCCCCGCCTGACAACGAGAGTGCCTTCTGTGTCGACTTCCGGACCCTCGATGGCGCCCTCACGGCCATGCGGGCTCTCCGGCACCTGAGGGACTTCCCACAGAGGGACACTGTCGAGCTTGGAGAGTTCGACTGGCATGTCCAGTTCGGTGCGTCGACGATCCAGAAGATAAGGCTTGAGCGACAGGAGCGCCGCCAGCAACGCAAGCAGGCAGCCGCCGCCGTCGCTGATGATAAGGCACCCAATCACGTGCCGTCGCCATCCGTGAAAATCGAGGCCGACGGTGGCCGTCAGGGTCGCGGCCAGCACAACGGGGGGACGCCTAACGGTACCTCAGGTAGAGGACAGAGGGAAGAAAACGGGCGTGTGATCAAGTGTGCACTTGTTCTCCTGCTGCCGTTGTTGCTCCCTTTCAGTGTACCCCACGCCATTTGCCACGCCTCCCCAGACCACCAGCCCCCACGGCAGCAAGGCTCCCCCGTCGATCATCCTCGGCCAGCCCTCCCCCAACAGGCCGCGCCCAAAGCCGCTGCAGGTGCCCAGCAAGGCCAACCCACGGTCCTCCACGGCCAAGGCCAAAGTGGCCGCCAGGGGGGGTCGTGCGGCGACGGCGGCGGCGGCTATGGCGGATGATGTCACAGAGGATCTGCCCTACCCCACCTGGACCGAGATCGCCGGTCCGCGTGCCAAGAGGGGGGCCCGCGAGAGCCGCCGCAATCGCCCGTCGCGGCTGAGGAGTGAGGCGGTGGACAAGCAGGAGGTCAAGGAGGAGAAGGAGGAGAAGGAGAAAAATGATCGGTCTCGCTCACGAAGGCGGCGGGCGTTGGTGCTGGAAGAGCCTTCTGAGCCGGAGCGTTCCAGGAGGTCGACCAATCGCACGCCGTCCTTGGCCACCAGCCGTCCGTCGAGTGTGGCGTCCTCACCGGGCTTACCACCAGGGCAAAACGAGAGGGCCTATCCGCAGGGCAAGACACACAAAGAGTGGATGGCACACTTCGCTGTCAAGCTCTATGACGTGGGCGCGGCACGTGTGACACAGAGAGAGAGGACACACAGACAGAGAGAAAACATATATGTCGTTCTCTGTCTGCCTGCCTGCCTGCTGTTGTTGTTTGTGTCAGTATTTGCGTCACTTTTGCGAGAAGCGTTCCGATTTGCTCAATGGCGAGGCGGTGCCTCAGTGGCTGTCGTACCCGAGCGGCTGGTCATTTGTGATGGAGGGCTGGGGGGCCGACCACATCGAGGGCACACCCGACTGGGGGAACATCCGCACCTACAAGGTGGAGACCATCTTCTATGCTGCTGCTGCGAGCACGGCAGCCGGTCTAGAGCAGGTGGACCCGGAGCTGGTCAAGCAATTCCAAGACGGAAAATTGTAAGTCAACACAAATACACCCACCGATCGACCAAATGTCCTCGCATCTTATTGCCCTTGTTCCTTCCTCCCTCAGCTTTCGCTTCTTCGTGACGTGGTCTCCCGGGCGTGTGGGCCACACCCGGCCGGGCTACGGCTTCAAGACCAACATCATCTCAAAGGCTATCGCTGCCAAGCAGGAGCGGGACGCAAAGGCCGCCGCCAGCAGCACTGTCAATGCTGAAGCGGGGGAGGTGCGTCACGGGACGCGGCACAGATGGGTGCTCAAGGCCATCGACGAGGCCGCCAAAACCGCTGATGTGGCCCCTGAGATGGTGGCTGTGCCTGCTGGTGCGGAAGACGCTTGGCAGCTGAGGTCGCCGGTTGATGCCGACGAGAAATGCCCTGAAGATGTCACGCGTAAGGAGACATCCTGCTTGTGCACACACGTGCATTGGATTGAACATGGATGCTCATTTGCTGTCTTGTCTTGCAGTATCGGTGCACAACTCCCGCAGCATCGCGCGCAGCCCACTTCCAGGGATGACAAGCAGTCTCGGTTGACGTGTCCTTCATGGAGGGATTGGCGTGCGTGCATGGTCTTGTGTACAGGCGCAATGAGGCGATGTGCGTAAGAG